CTTTTTGCCATCTGTTCCACAGTCTTACCACTGCCCTGAAGCTGCACTTTTTGGTATTGTAATCACTTAGAAAGTCATGAACATATTGTAGAAAATCCATTTTTTCAGTTTTAGCTGAAAGTAAAAGAATATAAATCTTAGAAATTAAAACAGAGCTTTTTCATTTGTTGGAATAAAGATTTTTTTGTGTTTGGCTCCCTAAAGAGGGGAGGCTTATGGGATTGAGCCATTTGTTCATCTGCTTTTCAGTTCATCCTTAATAACTTCTGAACAATTTCATCCAGATTCAACGAGGAATAAGAGTCTCAAAGGTAATTGGTTTCCTATGAGAAAACTGGATGCTGGCTGAAGGAGAGAGACAAAAATAGGTGTCCCCACTGTGTGTAGCATGAGCTTAACTGTAATCTGTACTTAGGCTTTTGCTAGCCAAGTTGCAAGTGTGTCCTGGCTGCCTGGGTACTGCAGTCCAAGATTTCCCCAAGTCATCTTGGGGTTTGCAGAGCATGTTACTGAGCCTTGCTTAGGCACAAGCTACAGGAGGAGCCATGAAAGGGAGGCAAGGGCATAGGGAATGCTGCTGGAGAGTGGTTTTGTGATCATGGACCAGTTTGCTTTCAAATTCCATATGGTATTACCTCTTCTTCTTGATGCCTGACTTCTCAGATTGTCTGTCAAGGGTGCATGTGTGGTGTTGGCCTGGCTGTGAAATAACTCCAATATAAGAAAGCACTTACGTGGTACTCAGAGAAACTCAGCATTCTGAAGTGCAGCTGGGCAGTTACTTTGGCAAATGTTTTATTCACTCCTGATTTAGGATAGAGAGAACAAGCTGTGAATGTAGATGGAATTAACTCCTTAATTTCTGATGGGAAAAAAGAGATGGCTGAAAAAGATATTCCTGTAGTACTTTATTTTTTTCCTTGGGCTCAAGTCATTGCTTGAATGAACACTTTGAACAAAATTAGGATGGAAATGTAGAGGGGGCGGTAACTTGTATAATGGGGATTTATTTGCCTGAAATATGTAAGCCCTGCGTTTGCAACACTTGCTGCAGAGCTTCAATTTGTACAACCAAATTCATTATGTGTACGATTTGCAAAATCTCCTCTTATCTCTTGCCTTTGGCAGAAGTAGGGCACTGGGCTTTCTTTCTCGTGTATGCATTTGATAAAATATTCATATTCCTGCATCTGTGGTGACTGTGGGAAGGAACCACCACCTGGAATTATTCACTGCCTGCATTTCTGTGTTTTCCTTTGGTTTCTTTTGTCCTGGGCGAGCACTGGAGATCCTGAGGGTACTTGGAGCCATGAGTCAGTGACAACCTCCTGCTATTATTGTAAATAGCAACGTGAACACTGTTCTTGCATGCGTTTTTCCACGGGCTTTGTCTTTCTCGCCCAGCTCCGAAGCCAAGGAATTCACAGAGCATCTGAGTCAGCAATCAGCTGCCTCGAGACAAAACATGCAGGATACTGCAGACTTGCAGAACAGCCAGCAAGGCACACAAGTACCCTGGAAACCTAGCAAATAATTCTTGCCTGCCCTTGCTTTCCTCCTGTAATTTCCATGTTCTCTGACGTGTTGCTCTTGGGTTCCAAGGGTGTTTACATCAGGAATGCAGAGTTCTAGGGAGTGACCTAATGTGGTGATTGAAGCCTCGGTGTTTCACCCGTGGGCATAACTGATTTCCCAGGCTGTGTGAAACGGGATTTGGGCACAGCTGCCGTGCTAAGGTACCCCTTGGAATGTGCTGGCTCAAATGACCTGGTTCTGCCAGGTTGGGCTGCTGGCTTGGCAAACCTCAGACACACAGCACTAAGTTCCTAGAGTGAAAGGATATTACGTTTAATATCCACAAGTTTTGTGGGGCCAGTCGGAGACAGGGACAGCACACACGCCGGTGTCCATGAGGCAAAAGAGTGAGTTTATGTATGAATCCTTGTTAATAAAGGGGGTTTGAAAAACCCAGTTATTGGTGTGTACCTTGACACCACCCAGTTCTTGGACCTGTGAGATGTCTGCAGTTCAGGATGGAACAGAATTGCTTGAGGATCCTTTCTTTCAACTCAGGGGCCGGTTTATGGAGCCAGCTGGTTTTCTTATTTACAGCCAAATTAATTGCCAGCTTGTACTGTGATATAATGTGACCAAAAGAGGTTGGGTTTTAACTTTGGGGTGTTTGAGCAGTGCAAAACCAATGCTGCTTCACTTCCTTGGTGAAAAACTATGGGAGAAGCAAGAGTAAGAAATTATCCCTATGCTGTCCTTACATCTGGGTATATCAGAAGTGGAATGTGGACTAACAGATCTGGATGGTGACTCCACTTAAATAATTTAGGTCATGTAGCTTTATTGCTTTTTCTGAAGAAGTCTCAGTCATCCAAAGCACTGGTGTGAAGTCAGTGTTTGGGTGGTAGAGTGGGGGCTGCAAGAAATGGAGGGTCATAAGAGTATTCAGCTTGATTAATGAGGCATATGACTTCAGACTGTAGGTATTTTATTGTATGACACAGAGATACTGAAATTACTCCTTCAGCATTGGAGGTGTTTTGTTGGAGTGCATTATAATATTCTTCTTGAGAACAAAAGAGGAGAACAGGTCTTCAGTACCTGGTTGGGCCAGAAGAGAAGTGGAGAGGGACTTTCAACAAGGGCGTGAGTGATAGGACAAGGGGAAATGGCTTCAAACTGTATAGGGCAGGTTTAGATTGGATATTGAGAAGAAGTTATTTGCTGTGAGGGCACTGTGACATCCTTCAACAAGGACATGAGTGATAGGACAAGGAGGAATGGCTTTAAACTGTTATAGGGCAGGTTTAGATTGGATATTGAGAAGTTCTTTGCTGTGAGGGCACTGAGACACTGGCACAGGTTGCCCAGAGAAGCTGTGGGTGCTCCATCCCTGGAAGTGCTCAAGACCAAATTAGATGGAGCTTTGAGCAGCCTGGTCTAGTGGGAGGTGTCCCTGCCTGTGGCAGGTGTGTTGGAACTTTGACCTTTAAGGTCTCCCAACCAAACCACTTTAGGGTTCTGTGACTTGCCCTCTGTAGCAGTGCAGTGGTTTCCCTGAGGTGTGTACCTGGACCATAATTCCAGCTTCACAACAGTGAAATTAACACACCATCCCTGGAAGTGCTCAAGACCAAATTAGATGGAGCTTTGAGCAGCCTGTCTAGTGGGAGGTGTCCCTGCCTGTGAGAGGGGCATTGGAACTTTGTGACCTTTAAGATCTCCCAACCAAACCAAACCATTTTAGGGTTCTGTGAGTTGCCCTCTGTAGCAGTGCAGTGGTTTCACTGAGGTGTGAGCCTGGAGCATGTTTCCAGCTTCACAACAGTGAAATTAACACGGAAAATAAAGAAAACAGTTCCAATTTGCTTAGTGAGCAGTACTGATATGGACATGGGCATCACTATCAGCCAGTTAGAAAAACAGCTTCATGGGTACTGAGTCCTCTAAGGTGGTTGTCTTAGTAAAGTTAGAATTGCATTCTGCACTATGGCCCTCTGTTGTTCTTTGACTTCTGTAGGAACTTTTATTTTTAAAAACTACCAGTTTGTGGCTGTATGTAAAGGTTTCCAGGTCTCATTTGCTGTTTCTAAACATAAACAATAAATACCATGTTAGGCTGAAAAGCAGGAGTGCCCAAATAAACTACTGGAGAGCTGTCATATGGGAGGGGAAGAGACATGAGCTGTAATGTTTGGCTTGGCTTCCTGTCTGCTGGAAGCAGGAAAAGAGCTGGTGAGAATCTAAAAAGTTTTATCCAAGTCCACATATTTTCCTTTTTGCCTTAATACCCTTTGCAAGAAAAAACAAAGGGCAAAAAGCACCTCAGAAGTGCTTTCACTTCCACAGTTTGTGCATGTGTTCCCATGCTGCCTTCGTATCTGAAGGCAAACAGAGCTATTCTTTCTCAGCAAGAAGGGTAATTTAGAGTATACTTAGTGTTATGTATAAAAGAAAGAAAAAGGTTTATTCTACATAAAAGAGAGAGAGGAAGAACAGATACCTATGCTTTAAACAAAATCTCTAATCGTGATCCAAACAATTCTCCAGATCTCCAGCCTGCTTCTGAGGGATCCCAGAAACAAGCAGCAGAGCTCATGATAGCAGCTCTGCCCCAGCAGATTAAAGTAGACCCCAGCTACCACCTAAAATTTTGTATGGACCTGCATATCAAAAGAAGTTAAAAACCACAGAATAGATGAATTACTATGGGATCATGCACCAGCCACGTTTCACTCTTATGCTGCTCATTTATGGACAGAATTTTGTGTGTAGGCTTTAGGTAAGGGAAATGTTTATATTGCTTTATGAAACACAGACAGGCTTCTTTTTTTCAGCCTTGACTTATTTTTCTAAGAAATGGATTGCTATTAGCAGGTTTAACTTATTTTTAAGATCACAGTAAGCATCACTGTGCAAAAACCAGTCTTGGCAAGGACTCCGTATCTTCTGCTATGCCATCCTCTCTTAACTCTATTTATCATGACCAAAGACACGTGTCTTCTCAGAATGAAGGCACAAAAGCTTATTTTACTGATGGAGTACAGACTCTTGAAGTGTTTTGTGGCAGTAGTGTTTTTAACACCAGCCCATAACTGTTGCTGTGGTGTTACACAGTAACTGCAACATAGAAGGTCTGCCTGCTCTTCCAGGCACCCTCTGCCCTCTTCCAGGCATGGTGTAACATCTGCCTGTGTACTTGTAACTTCCCTGCTCTTCATGCAGAATGAGTTTTGATAAAACTTCCAAGGCATTGGCTCAGGTTAATGTATTTTGTAGTTTAACAGATACTGAGATGTGCTGCTGTCTGCAGTGAGGCTCAGTGAACTCTGGAGGCCTCCTCTTCAGTCAGCTTGGGTAGAATACCTTGGGATATCCATCAGCTGAGGACTGACTGGGAATCTGGGTTCTCAGTTCAGCAGGCTTAGCCAAAATTTCAGAACGAAAAAGAGCAAGTTCAGTTACGCTTTCTTCTTTTTGTTTTGTAGGTTAATAATGCTTGTAAGGCAGAGGTGAAAGTGGCTCAGCAGAACAACACCAGGAAATCTGGCAGACTGGAAGAGCACAGCTGCCCCCCTGGGCAGCTGCCACGTGTGAAGCATGGAGGAAAGCAAAAACGAGAAGGTGAACCAGGCTCACGTTCTCTTCGACAGATTTGTCCAGGCTTCCACCTGCAAGGGGACTCTGAAGGCTTTCCAGGAGCTCTGTGACTACCTGGAACTAAAGCCCAAGGACTATCGTTCCTTCTATCACAAACTCAAGTCCAAGCTCAATTACTGGAAAGCCAAAGCCTTGTGGGCCAAATTGGATAAAAGAGGCAGCCATAAGGACTACAAGAAGGGGAAAGCATGCGCCAACACGAAGGTAAGAGGTTCAGTCACCATGGTCCAGGCAGCTCTTACCCAGTCCCTCTGGAATACACAGCAAAAAGGTGTGGCTGTAGAAGAATATTGCCTGGTGTAAGCCAAATGTCCTCACAATTTTAGCATTTGATCAGCAATCAGAAATTCCTTTTGTCACCACCAGATGTGACTGCCCACCTGAACGTTTGTATTTTATTCAGGAGGAGCAGCCAGCAAGTTCTTACAATGTAAGTTTTTGTGCCTTGGGTCCTATAGATAGATGCCTTGGAAAATCTTAATTGGTAAACCTTTAATCTTGGTTGACTCCTCTTTGCATTTTGACAGTAACAGGAATGTGTGCTGTTGGAGTCTAGGATATAAAATATGCATGTTTGGAAATTTCCAGTTTTAATTTGAAAATTCTCATGACTCTCTCAAGAAAACTGAACTTTTCTGCCAATTTGGCAAAACAGACTGTTTCCCTTTATTTAGAAAGTGATCAATTTTATTCTAAGTTCAAAGAAAAAAATATGCAGTGAGTGGAAACTCATATCAATTCTTTTAAAAGGTTGGTATGTGTGGTATTTAGTGCAGGAATTCCTGCTTTTACACACACTCACACAGAGCATTTTAATTTTTTTTAACCGGAATTGCTGTGAGCTGGCATTTATGTGCTGCTCCCCTTGGATAGTGCAGTTTGAAAGCAGTTCTTTATATAATTTACTGGAATGTAAATGGAATAGGTTGGTTTTGTAAATAATGAAGCACACTTTTTTTTTCAAAACAGACAAATAGTGCAGAATAGGATAAAATTAGAACTGGATTCTCTTCTCCTTCATTGAGGACAGAATAGGACAATAGATGTTGTTCTTTCTCTTGAATAGTCACCTTTTGAGAGAGGGAAGTACTTTAATTGGAAGAATTAATTACTAATTATTGAGTATAGAATTGAGGGAGAAATTTATCTTGTTTAGAGAATGTAATTTCAGACCTGTGGACTTATATTTTCCCCAAACTGGATATTTATGTTTTCCCCAAACTAGTTATGTTATTTTCTTAGTTGATTATCATGTTTCACTTTCCAGTGGCCATTTTCATAAGGATGGAGGCATTTATAATGAGTTACTGTAGAAACACTTAGTAAACTCTGAAAATCAAACAATTGGGCACTGTTGATAGTCACACTGGGCAGTAGCTTCAGCACCCCAAAAATCCAACCACTGTTAAAGTTTACATTTTTCAGGCAACATAAATAAGAAAGGAAGGATTTAGCAGAAGATAATTGTAATAGTTTTTGTGTATGCTTAGGAATCAGTCTTCCAAGTGCTATGAGCTTCAGGGAGAAAAAAAATCTAAATTTTCTGCAAAACTGATCACCCTGTGCATTCATTAGATTCAGGTATTGCTCTTACTTTGAATGAAACATAATGGGGTGAACTGAACTGGGGTGTTTAAGTCTGTGAAATGAAGCTAGGTGGTTTATGTTTTTATGACAAAGAGATGGAAGGAGCAAAATGCAGAGGTTTTTAACTTATTTAAATAATAGACTGTAAGAGTGATTTTTGCATCTGGGCTCTGACTGTATTTGTTAACACTGTGGAAAAGGTTGGTTCAATAACAGAGATGAAACATTAAAGAACAGATTTAATGGGCAGATAAGTGGATAGTGCTTGATTGTGAGAGCATATGAAAAACCAGAACTGAGTGGAGCGTGACATCCAGCTATGAAAGGCATTCAGAAAATCGAGTGTGACATTTGTATCCACAGGAACTGGTGAGCTGAGCTTAGAAGGACATTAGAGCTCCATTTGGTTGTATTGGTTTGAATTAACAACTAGGCAGCTGCAAGAAAATGTTAGAAAAGTAGAGATTTTAGCTTGACCAAAAAGTAGCCAACTATTGAGCTGGAGGTTTTGTGAATTGACAGCTCTGACAAAGCTGATTAAACCAGTGTCTCTGGTGAGGTGATGCAAAGTCAGTTTATAGAGGAAGATCACCCCTGGGAAGTTGGCAGTGAGAGGAAGGAGAGAAATGAGTCCTTCAGATTGTGCTCTGAAAGAATAATTGGAGACCCAGAGGAGTACTGAGGCTCAAAAGTCATCAGAAAAGGATGAAAATGGATGAAAGGAGTAAAGCATCCTGGGGGTGATGTTTGACTGAGGAGCATGCTAGGGATTTTGTATCCTCCAAAGTTTAACCTATTTCATACACCAAAGCCAAGTTAAAGAGAGTGAGAATGGAGTTGGAGAACGGGGATCAAGAGCGTGATTGTGGAAGTAGCATGTGGTGGTGAGATAAACAGAGAGGCTCATGAGGTCCTGTGGGACTGTTCCTCATTGAATGATGAGAGAAAAACCTCAGAACTTGATGGTTGTGGTGTGAAGGACCATGGTGATGGGACTGGGCAATGACTGCAGTGAACATATTTTTTAAACCAAATTTCACCATGTATTCCTCTTATCTTTTCATACATATTTCTATTAATTTCTTGTTTCCTATCCAAGTAGTGTCTGCCATTAAATGTTTAAATTTACTTTACTCCTAAGAGGTAATCATAACTGTTTAAAGCAGAGGCCTTTTGAAAACTGAGTCATATGTGATTTGATGTTTCCTAACTCACTTGGCTTTATATTCCTAATGTAATTTGCAGACTGCTGATTAAAAGGTACAGAAATTGAAGTGGGCATGTGGAGATGATAGAATTTAAAATGAAGATTAGGGTTTTATCCATGTCAGAACAGAAGTCAGTAATTTCTTTAGGAAGCCTGGCTTCTGTGCGCTTGAACATAAACCAGTTCTGAAGTTTTCATACTTTGTAGGATAGCTCTTAATTGTCCATTTCAAAATTGTTCAGGGATGAAGTGCTGTGCCTGGAGTTGGGCAGTTTGTGCACATGGCCAGCATCCAGGCTAACCAGAATTCAGATAATCAGAGTTCATGAAAGTGTCTTGGACAGGATGGGTTGTTCAAATGTAAATAGTTACAAATGGTGCTCTCTCTTCATTGGTTATACGGAGAATACAGCGTTTCAGTTTGCATTTGATGTTCCATTACCATGGCGTTGTTACTGGAAACTTAATATAATCTGTCTGAAAGATCTTGAGCAAGAAGTGTTTTTGAGGGGTGAGACAGCTTCAGTGCAGGGAATTGCAGCAATTGCTTGGAGTCACTGAGGGGAAAGGGGACAAGGAATAACAGTAGCTGCCTTTATTTGGCTGTACTTGGCATGTCATGGAGTTACTGCTGACTGAGAGTACCAGAAGGTGGGTTTTTATGAGGTATCTGACACTGGAAGAAGCATTAGAGGCAGAAAAGAATATTTTCTGGTTTTAATTGTGCTTAGAATTTATGTTTTATAACAACATAATTTAATGGTTTTTTATGGAATTAAAAAAGAAGGCAACTTTGACCATAAATTACTTGTCTGAGTATTTTACATTCAGAATATCTAGAATCTTAATCATAACCTAAGTGCTTTTAACCACATCCTAGTATGAGAGCAGGGAGGAAGGATAGAGAGGAAAAAGCCTTTTAAGTTCCTGTGACAAAGTTGCAGGCAACTAGCTTAAAATGTAATGAAATCTGAGTTTGAATAGTCTGATTTTAGTACAATTCCTTTGCTGCTGTGTACTCCATCATAAATACTTTATATGTGGAAATTTGTCAAAGAATGAAAGTCACCCAATCAGTGTGTTCTTGTTGCTTTTTGAAATCCAGGATCTTTGAAGATTGTAGTTGTCAGCCAAGCAAAATTACCTGAATAAGTATGACATGCTGAGCTAATTTTCTGAAAAGTTTTAAAAAAGAAAGACAAGGTGGTGTTTGGGAAATACACTTACCTGCAAAGAAAGCAATATTAAAATTGGAATAATATAGTAGATCTGACTGAGGATCCCTTATATCTAATTACAAGATAGACACTGTTCAATATACAGTTTTATTTAGGTATTTATTAGCTCAGAGGTTGGGTGTGCCTTTTGTCCCAAATGCTTTCAGGTTCCTGAAGCCACTAAAGCAGCGGTGGTGTTATTATTCCCTTCCCTTTCCTCTAGACTTGGATCTCTGCCCTCAGATTTATGGGACTTCTTATCTTATTCAGTAGTCCTACGTGGAATTTGCATGTCAATAGCTGTGTCATCACTGCTGTAACTGGTTTTCCATCATTCAGGCTTTACATTTGCAGTTTCATGGTGCTTGCAGAGTTTATGCCCCAGTGAGTAAGTGGTGACAATGTGGCAGCCTGTAAAAATTGTCAGGTGGGGATGACCACTGAAAACAAATTTTTGCTTTTTGGAATTGCTTGTTTATCAAAACATTGGCTCATAGTTAAGTTTTGGCATAATTAAGAATTTCTCAGAGTTTTCTTGTGCAGCCATAAGGATCTGGAAGAGAATGATGTGGCAGCAGCAGCAGCCACCTCTGTAACAAGGTCTCAGGTTTACTCGGTAGAAATCAAAGTACAATAATGATGGACTGTGTACTGTATTTATGTGACTGCACATACCAACACTTTCTCTGTGGACCTCATTTTCTGTGGGTGAGAAGTGTCTCCTGACTATCTTGGGTTTTCAATCTGAGAGTATTTTGCTGCATCATTCTGTTCTCAGAAGGCACTTCAACACTAGACAGGCACGTATTTTACATTCTCAAGTTGTTTATTAGCATCTGATGGTATTTGTGAGTAGAGTGGAAAAAGATAAGAGAAGGTGAAAGACCTTTCATATGACAAAGGTTAGGTTGGAGAAAAGATTTGTCTGGTCACACTAAGTTTTTGTTTACATGATGTCTGCTTCCCTGAAGTCTCCTTTGCTGCCGTAGTAGAAGCCCCAAAGCACCACCGAAGGCATAAATTATTGTGCTCTGCATTGGCTACTCTTATTCTGTTATTCTAAATGATGGTGTTTATTAAAACATCAGTGTCTTGTGTTTGTCTGCTGTAGCTGTCGCAATGCTACTGAAGATATTCTTAAGAAAGGCCAGCTCAGTGTTTGGAAGATGAGAAGAAAACTTGTCACTGGTTTTGTTTTTGTTTTTCGGGGGTTGTTTTGATTTTCTGTTTTGTTTTTAAGGAAAAAAAGTGGGATGTGGGAGGGAGAAGCCTTCAGAAATAATACTGTTCTCCAGGTACTTAGGTAGCTTGGAGAGTATGACTTGGCAGCTCTTCCTAAAGCAAGGGTTGCAAGCTTATAGTTTTACTTGCCTGCTTCCTGAGGCTTTTCACTGCTCTGCAATATACTTCAGTTTCAGGTCGTGGTTCCTGCTTATCAGTGGTGAATTTAGCAGGTAGAAACAGACTGCTCTGAAATTTCACCTTATGTTTCAGACAAAGAGCACCTCTTCCTAAGAGCCGTGGGACACTCCTGCAGAAATAAACCCCCATTTCCTCCAAGGACTGTGCAGTTACTCAGGGCTGGTTGTTTTGCAGTGTCTGATCATTGGGGCTGGACCCTGTGGCCTTCGCACAGCCATCGACCTGTCCTTCCTGGGAGCCAAGGTGGTGGTGATAGAGAAGAGGGACGCCTTCTCCCGCAACAACGTGCTGCACCTCTGGCCCTTCACCATCCACGACCTCAGGGGCCTCGGCGCCAAAAAGTTCTACGGCAAATTCTGTGCAGGATCCATAGACCATATCAGTAAGTGCAGGCAGGGCTGGACACAGCAGCACTGCTTCTTCCTGGGGGGAAGAGGGTGAAAATTCAGCCTACACAGTCCCTGCTTTCAAATTTTTCTGCTACAGTTCAACGTTACTTTTGCATCGTGCATTCTGGGCTAGTAATGAGATTAAAACATGCAGTGTTTCTCTGTCATCTCTTAGACATTCCTAGGGCATAGCTTTTTCCTACGCTGAAAAGTACACTTAAAGCTCACTTTTTTTTTTTTTAATGGATAATTTTTCTGTTTTTTGCTGATACATTCCTGCAGCTGCCACATTGTTCTGTTTCTCTTGAGCAACTTGTAAGGAAAAATTAGTGCATGCTTTTGAACATTCTTGTGAATTTCAGTCTGGAGAAAGGAGGAACAGCTACGGATTTGTTAATTTTCAGAAGAATGATGAAGACACACTTTGATTTAACAGATGTTTATATGTTAAAATTGAGAATAATCTTGATGATTTTTATATTCTGTTAAATCAATCTTCTTTGAAAGCTGATTGCTTTGGTGGAGCAGGAGTTATTTTTCTTTTCTTTTTTTCTTCCCCAAAATTGATTATACATGGAACAGCCAGGTGTTGCCCACCAGTCTGTGTTCTCTTTTTTTTTTTTTAATTTGGCAACAAATGGGTAAAACTGAAAGATTTCTTCGTAACTTCAACCTTGCAGATTGCTTTTTCCTCCTAATGTCTTTTTATTTTTATTCTTCCAGTATTTATGCATTTTGTCTTTTTTTGTGTATCAGCACAACTAAAATTTGGCATTTAGGTGAAGGATTTTTTAATTTCTGTGTCTGAAATATGACAGTAAGGTGTTTTCCTTCAAATTGAGTTTGCACACTGTAATTTTCATTCTCATTGCCAAAGTTACCTGAAGAGGAGAGAGGTGGTGAGGAGCTTTGTGTGCCCTCACTAATCCAGAGGTGCAGGTCAGTATTACAGCCAGGCTGATCCAGGGGCTCTTTGCCATCTGTGACCAGTGCAGTCCTGTCTGTGCTGTCTTCCCTCCCTCTCCTGCAGCTCATGTCCTGGTTGTTATTCTTGTTGCTGATTAGGGGACTGAAACACTAAAAATTTATTTTTTATGCTTTGAAAAGGGCTGGGTTTACAGCTGTGTAGAATTTTCTTAGTGGTGCCTGGATGAAGTGCTGGGAACACTGTGGGAAGAAGAAGGTAGCAGCTGGCCTTTAAGTCCAGGCTATCAGTAAGGTCACACAGACACACATGGCACTTGTGCTCTTTTCTTTTCCTTCTATTTCTTTATAATCTGCTTTTCTTTCTTGCAGGTATCCGTCAGCTCCAGCTGATCCTTTTGAAGGTTGCCTTGATCTTGGGAATAGAGATCCATGTCAATGTGGAGTTCCGGGGGCTCGTGTACCCTCCGGAGGACCAGGAGAATGAAAGCAAGTAGCACTGAAATGGGCAGTAGACAGGGGGGAGGTTGTGGTAGGGTACACAGGCTCCTACTCCTTAACTCTGCTTATGATGTTAAGTCCTTTCCTCGTGCTCCATTAATAAGCATAGTTATTAATCCATTTTTGCTTGGACTTTTAGTAGGATTTGTTTTTTCTAGTGGCAAATCCAAATTAGTTACTGTATGAAACAAAGTCACCAGAAGGACTACACAGAAATAGACCAAGACAGGGTAAATTGTAATTGCTTCTAAAGTACTTAAGGCTATTACATAACATTTTGATAATATTTTGAAACAACTCCTTTCTTTGCATTCACTGAGCATATTTATATTGGTGAATGATCCTTGTTATGCTTTTAGCATCACTGTGAAACCTGTTCTCTGATCACCACAGGAGATGTAGATTACTTGTATTTTGGCCTCTTATTAATTATATTATTATAGGCAGTAAAGAAGGTTGTAGAGGCCCTTAAAGGAATTAGGGGAGTTTTAGCCGAGCTGTATCTGCCTCTGATTCATGTGGATTTGCTGCACAGTTTAGGAATAGCCCTGTCATCAATGTAGCTGTCCTGCAAGGCTTCTTGACTGATCATGTGTTGAAAGATTTATTGATAGCTATATTTTTTTTTCTATTATTATTGCCATTTATATTGTCATTAACTTGGAGTTTATCTACAGGAATAGGTTGGCGTGCACTGGTCCATCCCAAAACCCATCCAGTGTCTGAGTATGAGTTTGAAGTAATCATTGGAGGGGATGGCAGAAGAAACACCTTAGAAGGTAATGGTTCATGATTCACCTCCAAACAGAACTTATTCTTAAATTTGTTAGAACAAAAGTGGCCTTTGACGCACCAATCAACATCTGGAAAGACATTTGACAAGTGATAGGGAGATTAAAAGTCCATGTAACAATCCATTTATGGCAAAGATGTGGGTGGGCTTTGTTTTCTTCCTCTAAACTAATAAAGACATAAGAGTTTTTGATCTGGATAACTTTTCCTACATTTCTTCTTTAGTTGAGTAGTTTTGTCATTCCTACCTTCAGGTGTAGGAACTGAGGTGTTAAGTATTATTCTGTGTAGCACAGAATCCTTTTTTTTTCTTTTTGTTGGAAATTGCAGCTTTAGGAACAGGTGAGAGATGGGGTGGTGGGGAGCTTTTTCCCTAAACAACACTTTTCTGATGAAGCAATTGCTCTTTCCTCTTTGGAGGAGTTTGTAGCTCATCAATCCCTTCTCTCCCTTTACTTTGTGAGTGCACCTGTCTGTGGCACACTGAGCCTTCTCTGCAGGTGTTTGCTTTTCAGCATTTCCATTTTATCCTTCCTGCAGGGTTTCGCCGAAAGGAATTCCGTGGAAAACTTGCAATCGCTATCACAGCAAACTTCATCAATCGCAACACCACAGCTGAAGCCAAAGTAGAAGAGATCAGCGGCGTGGCCTTCATCTTCAACCAGAAGTTCTTCCAGGACCTCCGGGATGCCACAGGTTTGCCAGCACTTGACAGATTTCCAGTGAAATATAAACTGTTTGTTTTTATGATTACAATTTTGCAGCTCAGAGTTGTGTGTTTAATCAAGAAACAAGCATCTTGTGCAAGGCAGTCAGCGCTGTCTCTGAAATATGACTTCCCTATTTTTGTAGCTGTTCTTCTGTACAAAGCAGATGTGTGTCATTTCGATTCAGAAGTGGAGAATTTATGGTTTTCAGGAAATCAAAGGCCTAAATAGGAAGAGGTCATGAATCCAGAGTTCTGCTTTTGGCACGCCACATCTGAATGCAAACCTTAGAGTGATGATCAATGGATGTTTTTAAAAGAGGTAGCTTTGTGCAGGTGAAATGCGCTATGGTTTTGTTGACAGTTGAGATTTCAATGTCACCCAGAGTATGGTAGAAAGTTGCTTGGCATTCTCTCTTTCTAACCATGCAGTTTCAATTTACTTTCTTTTGGTAGAACTGCTGTTGCACATAACTCCTAACTTGTTCCTTCATTACCATGTCTTTTGCTCTGTCACAAGGCATTGACTTGGAGAACATTGTCTACTACAAAGATGATACACACTACTTTGTCATGACTGCCAAAAAGCAGAGTTTGCTGGATAAAGGAGTGATACGGCATGTGAGTATTAACTTCTTCTGTATTCTTTGTAAGCTAAAATTGTGGTGAAAATTTACTTTGGCAACATGAAAGTAGGAAAATGTGCTTTTTCTCTATCACAGAATGTTTTTCTACAGTTGTTATTTTAGAACATGAATGTAATTGTGTTCTAAAAGGCAGTTAATACCCTTCTGAAGTATTTTAAACCATCAGACAAGTGTTACAAAACCTGTCCTTTTCAAATTTGTCTCCTTTGGTAGATTTGGGAGTTTTGCTCATGCTAAGATAAAATATGCTGAAGGAACATTTAATAGTTTAGATGAGATTCCCTTATTTTATGTGAATGAAAAATGCTCAGAAGTTTCTTAGCCCTTTCACATGCAGCAATGCAAGCAAGACTGATTACTGTTTGCAATACAAAATCTATAGTTTTTCACAGTCATATATTCTGAAAAATCCCTTCACCCAGGATTTTCTCCTGGAAAGCTGAGAAGCCTCAGAGAAAAAGGAAAACAAATTCTTATATAATTTGCTTCTCCTGTGTTGTGCTCACATGTGGAATGTGTTTGGAGATTGTTTATCCACAGGTGATTGGCCAATAAGTCAAAACAATTCACATGAAACCAATGAAACAATCAGGGTCAAGCTGTGTCAAGGCTCTGGAAAGAGTCACGAGTTTTCATTATTATCTTTTTAGCCTTCTGTAAGTAGCTTTTCTGTATTCTTTAGTATAGTTTAGTATAGCATTCTTTAGTATAATATAGTATCATAAAGTAATGAATTAGCCTTCTGAGAACAGGGAGTCAGATTCATCATTCCTTCCTGCCACAGGGCACCTCGCAAATACAATAGATTTTCTCCTGGAAGCATTAACACAGATAGAAATGAAAGAAGTTAGAAGGCAAATTTGTATGAGTAGATTTGTCAGAATTTTAATGCCAGCTTCAATATATACCAGTCTTAAAACAAACTTGTGGGTTTGACCATGGCACTTTAACTTTGCTGGTTTTGGCAGGACCATGCCGACACAGAGGTCTTGCTCTCCCGGGAGAACGTGGACCAGGAGGCTTTGCTGAACTACGCCAGGGAGGCAGCAGATTTCTCCACTAACCAGCAGCTGCCCTCTCTGGACTTTGCCATCAACCACTATGGGCAGCCCGACGTGGCCATGTTTGACTTCACGTGCATGTACGCCTCGGAGAACGCGGCCCTGGTGCGCGAGCAGAACGGCCACCAGCTCCTTGTGGCGCTGGTCGGGGACAGCCTCCTGGAGGTTCGTGTCCAGCTCCGAGTGAGCACAAGCCTTTGCACCCAGCACTGAGATACGTGCTGCCTGACAGAGAGGCACTCTAAGGAGAGCTGCTGTTTGTTATAGAATAAAGTGGGAGGTTGGAAGGAAGGGTGGGAGTGTTGGGAAAACAGAATTTTTAGCGTGGTAATGATCGCGCTTAAGAAAATGTGTGCAGAGCTTTTTCTGAAGTTCTGTCTGTTCCATCTGCTTCTTGTTGACTCTCTACAGAACCTACTGTAGGCCTGCTAGTAGTTAGCATTTTGTAGCTGGTTAAAAAAGTGCTGTCTTGAAGAGAAGCTGTTAAGGCACCCCAGGCTATGAATTACAGTTGGAAATAGAGGGACACTGGCTTTGGGAGAGCTCGTGAGCTGTTCACCGTACATCTGGTTTCCTCTAGCCCAGTGGGAGTGCAGCTTGAAGCTAATTACTGAGTTACAATTTCCCAGCAGATTACTGCCTGAATGTGTACTTGATGCTTCTTCAAGATTTTCCCTAAGTGATGCTTTGTCTTTCTCTGCTTCTTTTTTTTTTTCCTTTGGTAACCTGTAATATCAGCCGTTTTGGCCAATGGGAACTGGAATAGCCAGGGGATTTTTGGCTGCAATGGACTCTGCTTGGATGGTACGAAGTTGGTCGCTTGGAGCCAGTCCTTTGGAAGTGCTTGCAGAGAGGTAATGGAGAAAGTGAATACATTTACAGTTCTAATCCAATCCTCCAACATCTCATCATTGATTACAGTTTCTTTTAGTACAAATATGTAGACAGAATGGAAGATACAGACTCTCACTGTTTTTAAAGAATGCATGAGGGTATAATTCAGTTTAAAAAAAATTCAAAGGAGTTGATAAACTCAAGTATATGGAAGAGTAAAAAATGTTGTTATTCCTGGTCCTAATTTTAAAAGATTAGATGAGGAATCTTTTTTTAGGTGCTTATTGACATTGCATGGACAAAGTGAGCCTGACTAACTGTCACCAGCCCTTCAATGGCAAACCAGATGAAGATGTGGGTGCCTTTTAAGTACCAGATACAACAGTTCTTGCTGTCTCCTATTATCTTACAAATACTTCTTATTATTTCCTTGTAAGGAAGCTGTGACCTGCTATCTTTCATGTTGTCCTTAGTCACTTTGTTTCATGTAAGCCAAACAGAATCTTGTGTCTTCTGAAGTATTGCATTCTTGATGTGTTAATCAGCTTTGCCTGAGTGTGGTTTTGGTGACTCAAGGAGCTCTCTTGGAGATCAGAACTTGGGTAATTAGAAGATGGAGTGTGTAAAAGCAACAGTTTTTAGGTCCTATTTTAAACTTCAGCAACTGCAGGTTCTGACCATCAGGAACCATAGTATAATTTCTAAAATTGCACAATGGCACAATTCATACTTAAAGTTCCACTTTCTTGAATTTAAAAAAAAACAGTGAGGAAAATAACGTTGCTGTTGAAGCCAGACTTCATCACCTGTCATTTAGCCACTTCAGAGAGCAGTAAGATCTTCCCTGGGCTTTCTCTTCCACATACTGGACAGATTCAGTTTTCTTGGCCTCTCCTCACAGGACAAATGCTCCAGTCCACTTGGTGCCCCCTCTTCCTGAGCCCTTTCTGTGTCTCAGTGTCTCTATTGTACTGAGCAGCCCCTTCAGTTTCGCTTAGTGTATTGTTCTCTTCCTTCCTTTGGAATTCTGAAGTCATATTAAATTACAGATTTTAATATGGTTATGCTGATTGTTAGCTATGCAATGTCTGAAGTGGTTAGATTTCTGATTTGAATGTTTATCTCTCCAGAGTTTACTTAGCCATAGTAGTAGTGATGCATCTTTAAAAAAAACAAAACAAAACTAAAAACAGAACAAAACCTCAAACCAACCAAAACAAACCAAAAACTCCAAACCACCACAAAGCCTAAACAAAACAGATGAACCAAAACAAAACCCCAAACTTTTTTTTTGTGTTATTTTCCCAAGGGAAAGCATTTACAGGCTGCTGCCTCAGACCACCCCAGAGAACGTGAGTAAAAACTTCAGCCACTACAGCATTGATCCTGCCACTCGATATCCCAATATCAATGTCAACTTCTTGAGGCCACAGCAGGTGAGTCACAAATGGTGCTCCTGAGTGCTTGCCATCTGCAGTGCCTTTCCTCAGGTGAAGCTGTGCCAGTGTTTTGGGAACAGTGATGTGTGTAGCATGGAAGCAGTGAAAGGCAGTTGCATCAGTCAAGAACAGACTTTTGTACTTGAACAAATTTCTTTTTAGGGATGTTTGATTTTGATAATTTTAATTGTGATATAATGATACAGGAAAACCTATAAATTTGTGTTTTCTACGTGTGCTTGTGCATTTTCTTTGCAAGAATCCAGTCTAGCAGTCTGTCATTGCAATTTGGTATCCACTGAGCAGCAGCAGTCAGCTGGACTGTTTAGCACCAATGAGCTGATCTTTGCTGATGTGAGGTTCTTGGGTAGGATTTTTGCTAGCTACATGTACTTATCTTCCTTTTTGTAGCTTGGGATGTCTCCTTATTCTCTTCTGGTTATTTTTGTGTGTATCTGAGGTGGATGGCATGTGTTGATCATCTTAAATGTTTTTGTGTGTCATTTTAGGTACGCCACTTGTATAATACAGGAGACTTGAAAGACATTCACCTGGAGATAGAGAACTTTGTGAACTCCAGGACACCAAAGCTGACTCGAAATGGTAGGCCTGGCTGCTGTCCTATTCCTTTTGGTATTCTGGAGCTGGACCAGTGCAGGAACTAGAGAGCAGCAGGGCTGTAGGATATTACTTAACCATTCTCTTCATTTAGAAAATGTACCCAGTAATTGTTTTGTCAACAGTCTGAGCTTACAATTTTTCAAGTTTCCATTAGCATGGGAATTTATTTTTGTTTGCCTAATTTCTCTTGCTTTATAATGCTGTTAACTTTCTAAGCATATTTGTTTGTATAGGCAGTTCTTTCCACCTCCTTTATCTCTAACAATGTCCTTGCCTAAAGTGCAGAAGCCTGGACTGAGTTCACTCTAACAGTAGACTCAGTACTCTTAAAAATGTATCAGAAGGTATTGCTTGTGCAGTCTTGCATGTTCCTGCTTTCCTTTTCTTTGTCTCATCTCTCAGCTAAATGAAACCTCACTTTGCTTGCATTATTCTGAGAGCTAGATGCCTTGTGATAAGCATTTGAGTAGCTGTCTCCTTGTCTCTACCCTGAGGGGTATGTCAGACTTTTCCTTTGCATGCCTTGTCTTGGATGCCCAGATAGTGTTTTGGGATTCCCAGGGTGGCTCTTTGCTGCTAAGCCTCCCTTTCACTGCTGAATAGCTGTGTAGTCTCTGCTCTTTGCCCTGCAGCCATGTCCCTTTAGGCTACAATCTCATCAGACCTTCTGGTAAGACAAGGTCAGCATAGGTCAGTGCTTTTAAAGGAAAGTTTTCAAGGGAGATGAAGAAATTACAGAAGTACATTTGTCTGTTCTTCCACTAGAAATAGTATATCTGAGCTACATTGCTACTGTATGTCCTTTTGATCATATTTAACAAGCCTTTGCAACTGTTTTATATTTCCTGGGGCTCTTTTACAATAGCTAGGGTGAAAAGTCTGGCAAGTTGCAACTTAGATAATAATTACTTTTCAGCAAAATAAAAATACTTCCTTGGATTTAAAATAGATATTGATAGTATTTTTAAAAGAAAATAAGTATCTGTCCTCCATTACCCACTTGTTTTTTATATCAAAGTTTTCCTTGTTGATTCATGGGGCTTGTGTTGTACTTAGAATATGAGTTGTTGTTCATTTCTATTTTTCAAATGTGCTATTTTTTTACAGAGTCTGTAGCTCGCTCTAGTAAATTGCTCAGTTGGTGCCAGAGGCAGACTGATGGATATGCTGGTGTTAATGTGACAGATCTGACAATGTCATGGAAAAGTGGCTTAGCTTTGTGTGCCATTATCCACAGATACCGTCCAGACTTAATGTGAGTAACTGGCTGCTTCACATAACTGGGAAGAGCAGGAAATTAGTGGTGTTTGGAACTAATAATATGGAGTTGGAGGCAGTGCATTTGTGACTTATGAAGAAATGGATTGAAATTAATTCAATTAAACTTGATAGAAACCAATATCCAGTGATTCACTAGCAGAGGGGAAGGTCATGATAGCTTGATGAATTTGAAAATAAATGTGTTGTCATTTTCCCTTCTGGATGATTTGGCAGAATTAAGCTTCAAATTGGTACTGACTGGAAAGCATTATTGACTGACAGACTTTATGTGTGAAGTGAGTAAGGAATAGTTCATAGCTTCAGTTAAATCTCTTGTGAACAAGTCTCTGCACAGTCCTTTATGAATTTCCTGTTTCAACAAAGCAGCTCTTTCTAAAGACTTGCAGGCTGCCATTTCTAGAAGTAGTGACCCACAGCCTAAATTAAGAGGTTGTTGCTGTTTGCACACCGACTTGGTGGTTGGGTGAATGGCAGAGGTGTCCTCTTCAGTGATATATTGGGTGAAACAGTGCCCAGATTCTAGAATGGGAAAACACTGGCTGGAAAAAGTGATGATAGCAAAGACTCTGGTACTTTAATCTGAAATGTCTCCAACTTCCCAAAGGGACATCAGAAAAAGTAACTTCTAGAGCTGTACTTGAAGACGTAATCCACTGTAAAACATACTGCAAAATTGTGGAATTATTCCAATCCATATGCACTGAATTACTTCTGTATTGGTGTACTTGAGTGAACCCAAGCTTCACTGTTTAATAGCTTTATAGCTTGTGGGGAGTTCAAACAGCTTTTAAAATGGTTCATGTAATACTCTACAAGCTGTAGTTTTTTAATATAGTTGCACAAGTTTTGGGAAAAGCCAGCAGGACAAAAATATGGATCAGTCAAGAGAAAAGGGGACAAAAAGTCAATTTTCATTTAGTTCCCAGCACACGGAAGATTTTATGTAGGGGATTACGGGACAAAAATATGGATCAGTCAAGAGAAAAGGGGACAAAAAGTCAAGATTTCATTTAGTTCCCAGCACATGGAAGATTTTATGTAGGGGATTACATACAGTCTTTCAGCAAAGAAGGAAGTGGAGATGTATTTCAGAGGAAAATGCTTTTTAAGAAGAAAAGTCTGGGTGTTTATGGAGAGCAAACAAATTTTAAAAGCATATATTTGAGCCAAAGTTCACTGTAGTTAAGTAGCATCAACTTGGCCATGTTGGTGGCAAATAAAGTTAAGATTTCAAGTGAAAAAAAAAAGGTGGATGTCTGAGTTCTTTCAGAAGACTGGTTTCTACTTGATTCAGTGCAAGGCCTCTTTTTGCCCTTTGCAGAGACTTTGATTCCTTGGATGAGCATGATGTGGAGAAGAACAACCAACTGGCCTTTGACATCGCTGAGAAAGAGTTTGGGATCTCTCCCATTATGACTGGAAAGGAAATGGCATCTGTTGGAGAGCCAGATAAGCTGTCCATGGTGATGTACCTCACACAGTTCTATGAGATGTTCAAAGACACCATCCCCTCTAGTGGTAAGCAGTTTGGGGCACTTTTGTGGGGTTTAAAGACTGCTCTAGGGTGAATGTGTGGGTTTCAGTTACTTTCATGCTGCTTCTGCATGAGCACATTGAGTGGTTGCCCACTGTAGCTTTACATTACAAAATGTTGGCTTGTTACTGGTGCTGATAAAGAGCAGTTAGCAGCATAAATATGATGTTAGCAGCAGCAGGAGCAAAATAAGAGTTAATATACAATAATGGCCTCAAAAGTTCTAAACTCACTTCACCACTACTAGATAAGTTTTCTGCTTTCTTACTATTGTTTGTCTTAGCTAATGTGCCTTGCTAGTAGTTGTTGAACAGGTAGATTCAAAACACCAGCTGAGTTTTATACCTATTTATCATCTGTGAATGGTGAGACTAACTCCAGGCCAAAACATCTTTGAGCAGAACTGAAAGATGTCATTACCTAGCCCAAATCAATATGGACAGCCTTTAAATATTGATAATGTTGTTACAGCTCTTTATTGCTGATGATCTTAATTCACATATATCTCTCTGGTGAGGGGGAAAATTTTGGTTTAATAGCCTTTTAAAAATATAGTATGTATTGTGTATTATTTTTAAAACTCTGTACTCTTTTTAAGAATACAGATGCTCATGTTCCTTAAATCATGCTCTTTAAATGTAAAAGTAAATAGAGGAAGCATAGCATCTGTTATGGGTGATTATAAACCCTGAAAGAACTGCTTTGGGCAAAATGAAAAAATAGCATAGCTGAGAAAGGTATTAATTCTAGACATCAGTTATTTTGTACAGAGAATTTAAGAAAGACTGCTACATTAAAAATAATCAGTGAGTCCTTCAGTTGTGTATTTAATAACAGCACTGCAGAAAAAAACTTCATGGCATTCCCTTGTTCTGCCTGTTGTCACTAACAGATGCCCTGGAGCTGAATGCAGAAGAGAAGGCTGCCCTGATTGCCAGTACCAAGTCTCCCATCTCCTTCCTCAGCAAACTGGGACAAAGCATCTCTCGGAAGCGCACTCCCAAGGTGAGCAGGCACGGCCCTGGGAGCACTCGGGTCTGGCAGGCTGCTCTCCAAGCATGGTGCTAAAAATGCAGGTGGTAGTGTTTGTTAGTCTGCAAGAGACCATGTGTTCACCAGCTCTTGGTGTGGGATAATACATGGCATTTATGACTGCAAAATTACATCTGTAGTATGTACTCTCAGAGGTGTATTTCAGTCTTAAAAGCTTAGCCTTGTGGTAGTATTTGGGCATATATTTTCTCTTGGAGTATAGCTAATTGCTCAGTTTTTGATGATTTGAAGGTGTTGAAGAATTGTCCAGTTGAAGGTTACAATTTCTTAAAGAGTATCTAGGAAAAAAACTCTTTTGTTAAACAAATGGAGAATGAGCAAGAGGGAATTAAGTAAGCTTTGCAACTAAACTGATTAAGAGCACTGATGACACTTATTTCAGCCCAGAGAGGTATGAGAGTTATTTTTGTTTTTTCCCCTACTCCTCCTGTTCTCAGGACAAAAAAGAAAAGGAACTGGATGGTGCAGGAAAGAGGAGAAAAACCAGCCAATCTGAGGATGTAAGTATTACAGTGAGAGATGTCAGGGAGCAAAATAAATGGTAGGTGCCTTTTTCCCCACTTCAGTTCTTTCATTTTTTTTAATATCCAGGCAGGGATTATATAGGATTTTTAAGATAAAATTTAATTCTTCTTCAGAGGTTACACTTTCATGGTATCTTTAATACAAATATTTTACTAATGATTATGAAAGAATACTACATAACAAATGAAATGTTGCAGTTCCCTGATGTTCTGTATTTATTGCAAATTGCTATGGTTTGGTGAGGACATCAACACTCAAAACTTCTCAGTGAAGTCATGTGGCATTGTCAGAAGCTTGATGCATATTTAAACTTTAACTTTGGTTTGTGCAAAAAGCACAAACATTTCCAGTATGGCCATAAGGCAGTCTTTCAAATTCAGTGTTTGTAGCCAAATGGATAATGGTGAATTAGAATTCAGTGCTTTGGGTTTGTTGTTTGAAGATGAGCCGTTGGTTTATGTCAGGGGCTTCACAGGGGTGTTTCAGCTGAGGTCTTTTTGGTAGGTATCAAATAAGATTGAGAAGATCAGTAAAGTTTAGCAGAACATCTGATGACTTGCCAAAGGAAATTAAAATGTGAGCTTTCAAGTGAGGCTAAGAGATTTGTTATCTATAGTGTAAGAGACTTTTCACAGCAAAGGGGTAGAAAGGAAAAGGTGATCTGGTTGTATCTTGTTAAATTTTGCTGTCACTGATTGTTAGGAGGACCTCCCACGAAGCTACAGGGAAGAAAGGCCCACACTGGTGAGTGCCCTGACAGAGAGGAGAATTGATGCTGCCATTGGGAACCAGAACAAAGTCAAGTCCATGGCAACCCAGCTGCTGGCCAAGTTTGAAGAGAATGCACCAGTGCCGTCCTCAAACTTACGAAGACAGGTAGGAGATGGATAATAAACCCCTTGTTTTGGAATTGTAGATGAAAACCATGGATGATAGCATGCATTCTTCAAGATTGGATGTTAGTGTTGCTTTTCTACTTCAAAGGCTCTCCTAGAGAAAAGTGAAGTTTACCCAAAGCTTAAAATTTACAAGTACAGGGTGGAGAAGACCAGCAATTGAGTTTCTTTTATAACTACTATTGCTCTTTAAAAACTTTCCAGGAATGTTCTGCTTATGCTCTTTAAGAATAACCATTTGATTTCTGATTTGAACATCTTCATAGCAGGTTACATCTGTTTGCTCTTGTGAACTGTGATAGCTTTGTACGTGTGTGTGATGTGCAGCAGATAAATGCCTGGGAGTTTCTTGGCAATCAGAGTGTTTGTGTCATTCCAAGAGAGGCTCGTTTGTTCTCCAGGATGGTATCTGAACTGCTGCAACTGCAGGCTAGTTGTCTTTGATGTTAGATTGAGTCACTTCAAGCTGCTGCTGGCAGTGCAGTGTCAGCAGGATGAGGCTCAGTGTGGTTTAAGTGCCAGAGTCCTTGCTCTGCTGCATGAGTCCATCCCCACAGCTTGTGCCAAGCTCTGTGCCATGGCCACATCGTGAGTGGGACCTGAGCTGGCTGCTTGAAAGCCAGGTCAAGTTTATCTCTGCCACACTACATATCAGCATTTGTAGTGTAACATAATCAGAATGGCCATGTCTATCCACACAATAAAATGTTTCTTCAGCTGCCACACATTGGCTGGCATACTCAGCCAATGATTTGAAGAAACAATGAAATGAAAGAAAAGGTCCAAAAATATGTGAAGTTTCCCATTTTTGGATGTTTTTTTTCCTTTTTATATTTTACTTGCTAAATGAATTCCCCCCTACCCTTATTTTTTTTTTCTTAAATGTTTGTCTGTCTTATTCTGTATTCCATTGCTATGGCTTTCTTTGAGTTTCCTTCACTATTTTATCTTTCCTCCTTGGTCCCACCTTCCCTACAACCTGCATGCAGCAACCTGTCCTGCCTTACCAAGAGCGTGGCCACAGCCAGCCATCCAGCAGACGAGAGCAGGGCCGCCTTGCTCCCATACCCCAGTGGAAACAGGTAAAGAAACTCACTCTCACTACAGTGCATTTTCTCACCCAACACCACCCATCATCACTGCTGTGTTTTTAAGCCAGTCCTTTTCCAGCATCTTGTCTGAGTCTGTTATTTTAAATAACTTGCAGTGAATAAAAGTCGACGTTTCCCTTTGGTGATGATGTATGGTTTAATGTTTCAAAAGTATTTAATCCAATTTTCCTTGCCCTCTTATGCTAGTTTCAACTTAACAAGACTTTCATGGATGTTGCAGCAGAAATTTTTGCTATAGAATTTCTAGATTCTTCTGTTAGAAATGAAGGAAACATGTAAGCAATTATGGAAACTTGTGAGGTAAAGATGTCTTATCTATGATATTAAAGCTCTTCCTTGATATAAATAGTAAAATTGGTTATCAGTTTTTCTATTCCTATGTGAAATCTTAAGTGTTCTGTAGTTGCAGATTTTCCTGTGGTTTCCCTTTCTTTAATGCAGCTTTCCTTGCCAGCTTCCCACACTTGTTGCTTTGCAGACTCCTGTGTTACTGAGAATTCAGTACATTTTAGGTTTTCTTCCACAGAATAGGGACCAACAGCAGAAAAATCAGCTGGTATCAAATTTTATTTTCTCTCCAATGTTTTAGGCCATTGTCATTGCTGCTGTTTTTCTTTCAGCCATGCACTTTCCAAAACTAAAGCTTCTGATGGATGATCTTTTCAGGCATTTAGGGACACTTACTTCACTGGCTTCATCTGCTTCCACTGTTTGCTTGTGCAAATGGCCTCCTCTGAGGTATTCTGCTGACAGCCATAATTTGGAGAAACATCTACTTCTCTCTGGCTGTAGTTTAATCAGAGCATACTTTGGAGTCAAGAGGAAGAAGATGACACTGCTTTGGAAATTGACTGTTCTTGATGACTATGGATTCATGGTGATCTTCGTGTCTGAGGCCATTCAGCACAATTAATGCTGCATGTCATGACTGGTGCCCTGATCTAGAAGATTTCTCTTCAAGGAAGAAGACCTAAGCCCAGGGGAATTATTGTCAGGATGCTTTGGTTTCCTGACTCAGTGTTTGTTCTTCTAACTTTTGTCTCATCAAAATCATCTTTGTAGTCTAAGAGCATTTTGAGATGGATTCACATAATTCATGATTAAGGCAAATTTTATTTCTCAAGAACACTCATTAAGGCAGAAAAAAAACCTCGAGCAAAAAAGCTGTACAAAATTAAGTGAGCTGATGAGCACTGCTTATATTACTTCCTAGAAAAAGAAAAACTGGATTGCACTGGCTATCTCTCTCTGTTTTAGCACTTGGAAAATGTCACATTCCTGCACCTTTGAGATTTCTATTTGAACCTGTTACTGGAAATTTATGAAGGCTTTATAATTAGGCCTTTCTAGTGAAATACAGAAGTTCTTTTTGTTATTATTTTGTCATGGATAGAAAGAAAAGGACAAAGTTTTATTTCCTGTTTTTAGTGAGGGTTTTTCTCCTCACTAGGGAGTAGTTTTTTTGGGGTTTTTTTGTTCTTGTTTATACCTGCACTACACAACTTAAAAGAAATTTTTTAAAAAATGTTTTCCTTGACATTGATAGCATCTCTGTATAGGAATGTAGGGCATATCTTTCAAAAATCTTTCTGCAACATTTTTACTTTCAGAGGATTGAAATGATTTTTTTCAACACTGGCAGTGATTGCCTTGAACAGATGATTTTCCTCTCAGTGTTGCACATGGAGATGATCTTTACTTGATTGGCTCTACTGCATCAACCAAAGATTATTGCTTCCTGGGTCCAGATGTCTTGCAGGATTTGCAGTGCTTTTGTAATGAAGAAGTACAAATCTGGGTCTCAAGGATGCAAAATCTGCAGGATACAGAAGGATCAACACCCCACTGATAGGGATCCCTGTTCCAAAGGTTCCTTACTGTGTGCCTGGGGAAGGGAAGAATATCAGTTACCTTTGTTGAAAAGCCATGGATGTGCACAGAGCCATTTATTCTTGACTAAACAGAGACCAGCTGAGACCGCTGAGCCAAGCAGCCAGCTTTGCCAAGCCTGGACAGAAAACCCCTCCTGCAGGAAGCTGGTGATTGAGCAGTACCTCAGCTGGCTGCTGAGGCTTCTGGTTCTGGTTGCTTTGGCAGGCAGAACCTGATAGGTGTGAGACTGCACCTTTTGATGGTGCTGGACTGGCCTTCTGTGGTGACATTGGTCACTCTGGCTTTGTAGCTCATCCCTGGGTGACACACTGCCAACAGAGAAGTGCTGCTGAATACCAGGACCTGTCACAGAATCACAGAATGACTGGGTTGGAAGAGACCTTCAAGATCATTGAGTCCAACCCAGCCCCAACACCTCAACTGAACCACGACACCCAGTGCCACATCCCAGGCTTTGTTCAACACATCCTGGGGTGGTGACTCCACCACCTCCCTGGGCAGAGCATTCCAGAACTTTGTCACTGCCCATGCTGTAAAGGATTACTATTCCTTCTGACAGACTCTTTAGGGATGATATATGTTTGCTAGAAAGAGCTGTTCATGAAGCTTTTGGAAAGGTTTCTCTTTTGGAGCAGGTGTTGAAGTTAATGAGCAGAAAGTCCTGCTACTACTGACTGAAATATCACATAGCAAATACCTTCTAGTGGAGAGTGCTTTGGAGAGGAGCAAAGCAACTCCTAAGGGAGCAAAGGGGGGGGATGTTACTGAAAGAAACCACAGGTTGCCTAATGTTCTTACTAGCTGGCAAAATGAAGTTGAGATCTTCTCTCTGGGAGAAGGGCAGTTATATGATTGACAGGTTTGGTTCTTCCTGTCTTTTGGAAACTGCATGGAAGAGGATAGTACATGGCAAAAGCATAAAAGTGGTTGCAAGGAAGAGAGTTGCAAAGGAAATTTTCTGGGTTGGACCCACAGTTCAGGTGAGAAATTGGCATCTGCCTTGGGGTATTGCCTGCTGGTATCTGGCAGATAGAGATCCTTAGCTGTACTTGCTTACCAGTTTAAATACAGAATCTTGCTTTACCCTTGAATTAAGATATTAGGTGAGCAGTTTCCTTGAGCTTGTAAGGCAGGATACCTCTGTGTGTTGTATAGGTGAGGTAGAGGTATCTTGCTAAGAGAGAATTCCTAGAAAGAGTGAAATCCTGGTGGAATCTGTTCTGAAGCAGTTTTTGCTTTCATCACAAGACTTTTAATGCTGTCTCTCTTAGGCAATACCTTCCAAAGAGCAAAGGGGTTAAAAACCTCACCAATCTGCTTCTCACAGCATTCTGTGTGGCCAGCATCCCTTGTGAATTGGATTATAAAGTTGAATTTATTGAGTTACACTTTTGAGTTGTTGACCTGTGTTGTCAAAATTGGTTTTGTGTTCTTATGAGCACCACAGCAGCATCTAATGATGCACGAAGATATTGTGAAGTGAATGCGCACAGTGGAAATGTAATTTTTTATATGATGGTAATGTCACCTAAAAAGGCTGGATTGTGTTTCATGGTGTGGTGGTTAATCTCCTCAAATGAATGCTTGCTTGTACATGAACATCTTCCATTATGTGCTCTATGCTTTCTGAGCCATTCTGGCTGCTTTTGGGAAAGAGCATCTCATCCAGGATCATGAAGCCATTGAAAGCCATATGGTCTATCTAGAAGAGGATCTGACTGGGCATGGTGTGAGAGACAAACCTTTTAAACTGAATTTTGCCCTGGATTTCCAGACCTTCATCTTGTAGCCTTCAGCAGTCGTCTGTTATTCCGTAGGTCTCCTGTCTGCAACAGCTTTTGTGTGTCATACATAGGCTTAAATCATGTTTGATGTGTACAAAGGTACTTGTAAGATGGAGATCCCATGTCTTTTGGTGCACATCTTTTCTGCCTCTGGACATCTGCTGCTTATTCTTTTGAGGACTGATAGAACACGTACTTCATGCATTCATCCAATACTGTATTCTGAGATTTGCCTTGGAAAAATAAGCAAGTTTGTGAAAATTTTGACGTTTGAAATGCAAACTTGGCCATGGACAGATGAAAATCCATGAGCAGCTCTGTGGCTGAGAATGTTGCCATGCTTTTAATGAGTGACTTCATAGCTAAGCCTTTTAAAACATAAATGTTCCTCATCCACTGCAGTGCAGAGTCATATGCTTCAGTTTAAGCTGCTTTTAGCATCTGTTTGAGATAGAGGAGTGTACTATTTATCTAACTGTTTTGTTGAAAAGGAAGAGAGCACCCAAACAGATGTTAGTGCCAGCTCATCTGCAAGGGCAGTAATAAACATCTGTAACATCTCTATACCACATGCAGTTTTTTTAGAGACTTATCTAACACTGGCTTTGGGTACACAGCATTTTGTTTTTTCCCAGTGCAACCATTTCCAGATATACTCTGGTGAGAACTCAGCAGGAAAAAAAAAATCAGACTGAAGGCTCATTAATAAACAAGAAATGGCAGAGAAAATCCCTACATTACAAGGAGTACAGCACTAGAAGGGCGTGTTTTCTGGTGTGATAAACTGAGGACATGTATGTGCATTGTGTAATAGGCAGACTATTAAATACAGCTCTATTTTATCTATAAACCAGCTGGATTTCTGTTTTAATGGAATGTAGTCATAGAATGTAGTACATTTTAGCTTGCCTGAGATGGTGTAATGTCTGTAAGTTAGAGAGGAGGGATCTGGAGCTGGGAGCAGAACACTGAGACTTGAATTGTATTAGTAATGAGCTGCAAGCAAGAGTAATTAGGTCAACAGGATGGATATTTTTAAGCCTTTTAAGGCTCAGCAATAAGTAATTTTTCATGAAGTAAAGAGAACAGTCCAATTGTGCTATGGAGAGTTCCAAATTTTGCCTTTAACTGATTATAAGACCTTGACTCAAAAGCTGTTGGTTTAATTGCTGAATGATACAAATCTGTGTTCACTGTCAATCAAATGTGATTGTATGGCTCTGGGTAAAAATTCGGATCTCAGCTTCAGATACTCTGTGGCTTTAGCTAATTTGGGAGAGGTGTGAGCTTAGGGTCATGGTCTCAGTTCATGCATTCTGCCCTGTCTCACCAAACCATTGGTAATGTTACCTCTTTTCTACCATTATTATGATTTTTTTTCTTTTTCTGTTTTAAAAAAAGATGAGGCATAAGGAACGTTCTCGGACCTGCCCCAAAAAAGTGATCATGCTTTCTTCTTCCACTCCATCCTCCTCTCCATCGTATCCCAGGCAGCAGGTGATTCCCTCTGCATGCTCTGTCCCTTTCTCTTCATTGCTGCTTGTACAAGTGACTAGCTCAGTTACCAAACAGCTTTTTGCAAATACACTGCCAGTTTTCTTTCTTTCAGGTGCTAATGGGGGTTTCTCAGCCTCTTAGGTTAGGAAGGTAGGGCAGCATTAACTCACTGGAAGCATGAGGAGTCTCCACTGGAGACTGAGATTTTGCTGTAGGCAGATTTTTTATCACAGTACCCTTTCTCAGCTTTGAGGTGCAGCAAAGTAGAAATTAAATGTTTGGAGTAATGCACGGAAAGAAAATTAAATTTTGTTCCACCTCCACTCTCCATTTAAATAGGTGTGACTGAAAATTTGCTCTTGTATCCATGAAACTTTTATAGGATTGCTTATCTGAAGTGGCTTTTGAATGCTGTACTGGCCTTCACATGTCCACTGTGGTCCTTCTGTTTCTCCCACACCAGGCTTTTGTCTCAGTCTGGCTTTGAACCTGGAGCAGTGAAAGCTGTTGTGAGCACACTGTATAAATGTGCATCCAGATGTTTGTGCACATGTATTTGTTGTCCCAATTTTATATTACCTGAAATCCTTCTAGTATTTTTGTTTTCTTGTATATTGTCATTGTGCTTCTTTGAGTTGTATCCTTCAAAATTGTCTGTTTTTCTACTTTCAAATCCACTTCTTGATCAATCCTGAGCTAAAGGTCCTGAAAAGACAGTTGCAGTCCCATAGAGCTGTCATGACATCACATAAGGATTGTACAAATTAATTTCCCCAGAGGTGAAGCTGAGCTTTCTTGGCTAAGCTCTTGAGCCTATAAACTGTAAAGGAGCATTACCTTTTAGCAGAGTAGACAAGTTTTATTCTTTGGCAGAAAGTTTCACTTGCCTTATTGCTGATTTTTCAAATTTTAATTACATGTTGCAGTTTATCTGGTCTAATTATTGTCAGCCTCCAGGACACACATTCTTTCATTCTGTGGTGTCTGCCTCTGCAAGATAGATCAGCTCTGCCTACTGATCCCATTTGAAACTGTCTTGACAAACAGGGAGTTGATTTTCTGCCACGCTGTGAGCAGCAGCCTTTTCAAGAAAGATATAGGAGAGGACATCTAGGTAGAATGGGTGAGCAAAACCTGCATTTAAACTGCAGTGTAATATCAGATGATGTGATAGCTAGCTGCCTGCCTCGTGTCAAAATCCTTTGCAAATTTGGTTGGAAACATTTTATGAAAGAAGAAAGGTTTTCCCCAGCCTTACAGATGGAGAAACTAAGGCAGTTAAATGCTGAGTTTTACCTTCTAATCTGTAGTGTGGGGTTCATTTTCCATATAGAGGAATTCATTTTCACTCACTAAGGATCTTGTAGCTCTATATTTTCCTTCTGTCACCTCTCCAAGTGTTTGTTTGTCCTGTGTCTTTTTGGTTGCCTAGTTTAGTCATGAAGGCCAGCTACTGCCAAGTGTATTTTGACCATTTTCTATGTTGTGTTTTATGGAAGTCTTCCTTCTTTTAACTCAGGAATTTTTATCCTCTGTCCTACAGAACTGATGTTAGAGACAGTCAAGAGTAATCTGCTTTTGGAGGCATTCTTTTTCCTTAGGAATGATTTTTTTTTTCCCCTAAAATTGTCTTGGCCTAGGCCTCATAGCAAGTCAGATGGATCTGTATCCATGTTATACTGATGTCTTTTAAAACCTTTAATTCTACTCTTCTACTGCATTTATTCTGCCACTTCTTTTAAACTCTCTATCTCCTTCCTCTGAACTAACATCACAGTATGAGTTATACTGAGTGTCTTATCATCTTTATTGCACTAATTTGATTACATTGCGGTATTATGTTTTTGTTTATAGACCTAATATGAATACATACTTAAAAAAAATTCTCTACAGGAGCCAACTTGTATTGCCAGGTTTAGAATATTCTTAATCAACTTCTGCTCTTGTGGCTTCTTTTCTGCCTGCATCATAAGAAAAATCAGATAAAATGTGTTGTGATTAGGAAGCTGGTCTGTGATTGTTTTTAAGCTCATCATTTGTTGCCTGCAGAGATTCAGGGAACCTGGTGCTGGCTATCCCGGGGAGCTGAGGCCCAGACAGGAAAGGGTAAAAAAGCATGAACAAATGGCATGGGTGCTGATGACACAGAGCTGTGGTGGATGTGTGCAATACAGAGGTCAAATACAGGGGGTGGGGAAGCACACTTATCCTAATGCTGCTGTTAACACGCTGGAACTGCTGAGAGTCAGTCAGGAGCAATCCTTCCTGTGTGACACCCACACAAATGCATAACAAGCCTTCTTCAGCAGTTTGCTATATGCTTTTATTTTGCCCTAGGTCAAGCACTTGAGCTCTTCTCGTTCTTCTTTGTCTCTTACACCTCTTTAGGGAAGTATGCTGTGGCTGTAGCAGAACAAGAAGAGTTATGTTTTGTGCTAATTGATGCGAACATGGTTGCATTGTGTTCACCGCTTGCTTTCTGGATGGTTAAACAACTGGCATTCCATCTTGCCTCCTACAGGCCAAAGTAAAAGGAAAAATGATGAGGCATTATTTAGTATAGAGACTTTGAAGCCTTCTTAACAATGAAATATTCAACAGTTTGTCTGAATGGCTCAGTATTATACAGAAGCATGGGAAAATAAAAGATAGGCACTCAAAAGGACCGGTTGATTTGAATTCATATTGACAAATTAATTGACATTCCAGTACAGGCTTTGAATGAATTAAGTCATAAATGGGAGCCAGCAATAAAACTGTTGCAACTTCCAGAATGTGTTCTAACAAAAGCCTCTTGTGGGCCGAGTGTTTTCTGATAGGCAGTAGAGAATGAATACACGTGTCTGCAATGACACAGAAGCCCACAGCTTCATAACAGGCCCCAGTTTTAGTGAAAATGATCTAGTAGGAAGGAGTAGGTGGAACAGAAAGCAGCTTTAAAGTAGAGAGTATTATTAATGCATCTGAATGGGAAAAGTGTTTCCTGTAAACTGGGTGTGAACTCAGTTTTCTGCTCTGCATTGGAGGACAATTAGTAATACAGAGCAGCACCCTGGCATTCTTGACAGATGAAGCCTCAGATTTCTTGATGCACATGTTTGTAGTTTCTGTCCATTTCCTTTTGTATTCTAAAAACAAATTAGCTGAAGGCTGTGTGATACTGCAGTGGTAGTCCTGACTTATATAGCAGGCCACTTGCCAGGTCTTTTTTCATGTCACCAAGTGCACCACACAACAGTTTAGGAACACTGATATGAAAGACCAGAATAGCAGAGGTGTCAAATATTGTGCCTGGGATGTATTGACATGTAGTGCAATAAGAACAAGTAGGACAGTGAAGTTGCATAAGTAAAACTGGCAGCTTCTGTGAGTGTTTGATTTTGCTGTTCTTTGCTTTATTTAGACAGGCTCATTAAACATGCTCTCTTTGGCATGTGAAGTATTTACTTTGCATATACCACCATCTTTAAGAAATTAATACATTCTTTATGAGAACCGAAATGCATTATCCTAAAATGTTTCTGTACACAAAATCTAAGAAACAAATAAGTACAGATTGAGAAATTTAAAGGAAGTCCTTGAGAATGCAGAATTATGGGGAAATAGACTGACAAATAAGGCCCTTGGTGCATGATAAAGCCACATTTTAAAATTATTTTTTGATGGTAATGCCAGAGAGAAAGGCTGTGTGCTTGTTTGATTTTGGCTGCAGCAGTCCTAGGAAGAGTTGTGAATAACAATTAATGTAACCATTTTTTTTCTTGCCCCTGAGGGTCAAAATGTAGCACTTCATTAGAAAAGCAGATACTGGGGGAAGAAAACCCCAGTTTTCACATGAGAGCTTTTGTTACTGTTGTGCATGTGAATGTCATACCTTTTGGCTGGCATTTTGGTGTCCATTCCTTTTTGTGCTGGTTTGTTTACATCCTGCCTCCTTCCTCGTCTCGCAGAGATCTCCTCGTTTATTTTCTCATGACCAAGTGCCCATGAGTGTTGAGCAAAGGGCATGTCAGCTGGCTGCCCTCCTGGAGTCCAGACGTGCACTGAGGCATCAGGTGACTACAGCCCTGCCTAGCCACTCTCCTGGGTACAGGTGAAATCTTGGGGCAGAGAAAGAAAAAAAAAATCACCAAGCTACGATGGCCACTGCTCTACAGTCATGTGGTTAAAACAGCCATGAAGACTATTTTTGTCTTTATTTGTAGTGTCTCTATTTGACTTGCCTTTTCTTAGCTGTCTCCTTGTTTGGTGAGCAACCCTTTCTGTTCCTCAAAACAGAATGTAAACAATGAAGTAAAAAGCAGCCACTAAACTTCAGAATAAATGCTGAAAACCAGCCGGCCTCTGGATCAAGTCATCTCACAGTGGTCATTTAGCAGTCAGTCCCTCGCAAATTTTACTTGATTCTGGAAGCAAGAATATTCACATTTTCCAAGCTTAATCCCTGGCTCTGTAGTACTACTTGTGTGTCCATCCTTCCTGTGCAGTAGTTTCCAATGGTAGAGCTGGCAGTTTGTGCAGATTGTCTTTGATTGCAGTGTACAGTTTTGTTTTGTTTCGTTTTTGTGCCTAATTTTCTCTCCAGTCTGTTGTCTTTGGGCTATGGGAACATGCCAGTTTGAACTGTGGTTTCTTTGGTTGCTCTCTGTTTTCAGTTATCTTCAGCAGTGCTTGGCAAACTGCAGAGTGCTTTTTTGGAAAGCATAAAATCACAGAAGTGATTTTATTCTTAACTGTTTTGAGTTAACCATCCCAAATCAAGCTGTCTTCTTGAGCTGGAGCATAAACAGTCCCCGAACTTTTGCTGGTGGGCAGAACTTTTGCAAGCCCTACTAAAAAGAATTTTGTGACATCTAGGTCACTTCCCATTGCTGGAGTTTTTTTGGGGATGCCATCTTTTTCTGATGGCTAAAATCTCAGAAGCTATTCTCCAAGAAGGAACAACAAACTTTTGCCTGGATTTGAAATGTTATCTATGGAGGCCTGAATAAGAAGACTACTTTAAACATAATGGCATCTCTTTGTTAATGGGTGCCATGATTTAATATCTCAAGCAAGGCCCACAATGCTCATGTGCATTTCCTTATTCAGTTAAAATGATGACACAGAAATGAAGATCGACCAAAATACTTGCTCCTACCTTTTGTAGTGCTCTCTGTCAATTTTTAAGCTCCTTCTGAGCATGGAGATGTAAAGATAGACAATTTCAAAAATAATTTCTAATTTTTTCTATTGTGCAGAATTGAAAAGGGGGAGAGACTGAAAAAAGAGGAAAGCATAAAGTGGGTAGGGCAGAGAGGAAAAAGGAAACAGATGTTGGAACACTGCAAGCAATGATGGATTATGATGTGGGACTTAAGGGAAGAAAACAAGAAAAATACTGAGAGAGAAGGCTTAGCAAAGTAAGGACATTTTCAGAGAAAAAACTTGATTAAATGTTGATGTACAGAAAATTTTTGTATGAGCAATTATATTTCCATAAATTGGGGTAATTGTGAAAGCCAAGCTCTTTTGCATTTTGCTCAGTAAATTTAGTCTTGAGGTTAGCCTATTCCAAGTGGCTAGAAGTAGCTATTTTCATGGGTCATGCAGTTACATGACATTTAGTTTTCCTTTTTGTAACTAAAACCATAATTTATTTTTCAAAGAAAGCCAGTTATTTGTAATGTGCATATTTTTTTTCTTTCCAGACTATAATTTTTAGGAATGCACAGTTTCTTCCAGTGCTGTTTGTCCAATAATTCCAACTTTTTTCCTACTTATATGAAGTATTTCTTGGGAGATGAGTGTAATCATCTGTAGAGATAATGACAAGGACATATTAGAAGACGAAATGTTGGGTTCTCCTGTGAGGAACCAGTTTCAGAAGGATGCAGGTTCTCAGTCTGAGATTTATTCTTTGCCATTTGATAATCAAGATCAGCAGGTTATTTTATATCGATACGTTCTTTATTTTGTTCAGTGTTTCTAATCTGTTTACAGTAAATTTTAGGTTGGAAAATTGCTGTTAATTACTGGAAATACATACAAGCTAACTTCTTTCTCTTCTGCCCCCCAGGAGAGCAGACTTTTGGTTTACATAGTTAAAATATAGAAGAGGTCTCACATGGCCTGAAAGATGATCTTTAGTGCCTTGGGCCAGTAATAGAGAACAATGGGAGATACAGAAGGAGCAGAGGAAATTGATTTGGGGTCTTTGCCAGTGGCTTAGTTGGTTGAATTACAGGAGGTTGGACATCTGTGGAAGTAGGTAACTGCTTCCAAATGGTCCTAAATAATGTAAAACCTAATAAAGAGCAAATTTAGAATAACTACTCTGCCTCACTAGGGAGAAAGTAAAGATACCCTGGGTATTTTTCTCAAAGTTTTCCTGTAAGAGTGCTTAAAACATTGTTCTTGATGGTAGCCAGAAAGGCTTGGGCTGGGTTTTTAATTTTCTCTTCTCCATTAGAAGAGCAAATGTATGATTGTGTTGATGTTTATTTTATGTTTTAGCCCGAGACGGAGCCGTCTCGCCGATTCTTTGTTGACCAGTGGGAGCTCTCCCTTAGCCTCCGCTCTTCCAACCGCCCTTCCTCACCCTCCTCCGACTCCCTCCGACAGGTAGCCCTCACCTGAGCACTCCAGGTGCACTCAGCTGCCTCTGCTTGCCAAGGACACCCACAGGACACAGCCAGGCTGGCACTGCTTCACCTGCAGAGCCTCTGTGCTTCTCTGTGCACAAAGGAGAAGCCAGGGGCAGCCTGTGCCTGGCACAGCTCGGGTGTTGCCAGCCATAAAGCAGTTTGGAACTAAGTGTTTTTAACATTTGGTGTCTGTGAGAAGTTTGTGGTGCATCTCTCACTCAAACCAGGGGTTTGCAGCACTGATAGTCCTTCTGGCTTTGCAGTGGAGCTTTCTGGTTTTGCTTGCTGCTTTTGTTGAAGTTTTGGGCTAAACAGAATGTGCATACGTGATTAATGGACAGTGTGAAATAAAAAGTGCTTTGGCTTTTTGAAAGATCACTGAGAATTTGAACTAGTTACAGTTGCCCTACGTAAACAGCAGGAACTTGGTTTGACCTAAGCTGGAACAGTTCTTTCTCTCCTTTTAAAAATGTTGCAGAATGTTGTATGTCTTGAAGACCAGGGAAAGATAAAATGCTTCACTTAATACCCATAATTAGGCCAGATGTGATATGTAGGGAAAAAAGCAAAACAAATCAGAAACACACAAGCCCAAATTAAAAATTCAGCAAGTAAATTTCTCACACCAAGTAGTCTAAGGTACTGTGAGTTAATATTAAGATATTCATTTTTTTAGCATGGAACTTCTTATGTGCTGGTAAAATTTTAAAGATGCTGAAGCATCTGCAGTTGAAGGTTTCAAATCAAAACTTGATCAGGGGAAACCTGGTTCAGCTAGAAGGAAGTTTTTCCCCTGGAAATGCTTCATCTCTCTTCTAAGAAAACTCAAAAAGCCTCAAAAGCTCTGATCATTCAGTGGAAATGGAAAACTCTTGGCCAAATTATTATGGTTGCCAGTTAAAAAATCAATGCTGAAGAAAATTTTAGAAGTGAGCACCATTTAAAATGTAAAGTTTAACAAGATGTGTCATTGAAAAGCAACTCTACACATATGTATGTGGAACTTGGAAACACATGGACCCTGGAGACTCAAAGACAAATGATTTGTTATTTCTTGCATATAGAAATACTGCAAGTGTTCTATCTCTTGGAATGGAATCAGTAGACAGGTATAAATTCTATGTAGAAATAAACCCTCCCCTCATTACTGCAGTGACAGAGAGCTTTAGGAATTAGGACTGTAGTGACAGCAGCAGTAATCTCTGGCTGAGCATTCCATTTTCATAATCTTTTTTCCCCAAATAAGTACCCATTCTGTGCTGAAATTGTTTCTCTGATGCTTCCTACTGTTCTCATGTCTGAACTTGTGAAGGTTTTAAACATTCCTAAAAGGCTGATAACCACACAGATTAAATTAGTTATTAGTTGAGGGAAATAACTACTGTGCTTCAAGCAAGTTTTGCTATAAGTAAAAGGGGTTTTAAGATACAACTTTCCTTTTGTTATCCTTGGCATTTCACACTTGCTAGAAGCTGAGTGGCTCTCTGATCCTGTATTAGCTGAGAATCCAGCTAGAAACTGGCATAATGCTGCTTAGTGTGGAAAAGGGAAGTTGCTTGGCGTGCTCTTTGCTGCTCTGAGTCAAATCCATGGCGTTTGCAGTGTGATTGAGCTAACATGGATGTAACCACCTCATTTTCTTAACCATGTAATTACTGCCAGTGGTTGTGTTTCCTGTGAAAAACACTTTCTCCACTCCTGCAGTGTTGGAATTTGGCTTGCAGACACTCATTTGGTACCATCTAAGGTAACAGCCAACTTGCCTAGACTGCTGAAAATACTGGAGGGTTTTTAGATATCCAGAGTTTTGGAGTCAGTCTGTGCCCATGGTGGAGAAAAGCCAAGTCATAAAGCTGTGTTCAGGGTTGAATAAATATATGTTCCAGATGTATGCAGGTATGGCTTTAATGCATTGGATGAAGGCTCTTCCATCTTTTTCCATATAAACCTCTGTGTATTTTTAGCACTGGAAGAACTCACTCACTGTGAGTTCTGTAGTTAAGGGCTTCTCCCTGCTCTGTGAATGGTCTGTAAATTAATTCTTTCCAGGTGCAAAGTATACAAATATACTGTTGTAAATCAGCATGTTGCATTAGACTTTGTAACATGCCTTCTAAAAAAAAAATCTTTGTTTCTGATGCCAATTTTACCTGGAAGCTCAAAATCTAACTTATATTTAGCCTCATCTTTTAGAAGTGTCTCTACTTAAGTTTCCAGGGACAAAATACCCCACAGATGAAAATAAGATCTGCTCCCTTCATCTTCATAGTATTTCTGGAACACTTTAAAAATACAAAATACAAGCCTTCCTGTCCGTTCCTACAGGTGATCCTGGACTGTACTGGTGATTTCTGATGACACTGGCTTTGCTATTACTACTTGTCACTTTATTTGTCCACTGTCTTGGCATGATTTGACCTCTCTGCACCTTTTCACCACCTAACCTCTCATCATTCTAGTTATTTTTTTTAATTTGATTCTTTTTTTCTTTTCTCACATCACTCTTGTTTTATTCAACCCATCTGGTAGAAGTACATAAAGATGTACACAGGCGGAGTGAGCTCATTGGCTGAGCAGATAGCCAATCAGCTTCAAAGGAAAGAGCAGCCCAAAACCCTTCTAGACAAGAAGGAACTGGTAAGAAATGTGCCAGAGATGACGTGTGTTTGTGCTTAGATGTCGTGTAGATCTCAAGTTTTGTGAGTGTCGACCAGTTTTGTGAGTTTTGTTACACCACTGATGGAATCTGTCGTAGCTTTGTGGGAGATTTTTGTTTCCCTTTCTCCATCCACCCTCACTCCTGTCCTTGTTTCCTTTTCCAAATGTTTTAATCTAATGCCAGCATCCAAAGATTGGGCATAATGAATTGAGAAAACCGTTCATAACACTTCTGAACTGCTGCTTTCTGGAGGAGACACTGACTTTGGTAATGTAGGTCCAAGAATTGCTGTTTGAGGGTGTTCTAATGGTTTTGCCTTTCTTCATGTGCCTCCTTCAGTCACTGATTTCAGGGTCATCATTAATAGTACTGGTGTCCACTCATCTACCCAGAACTTTACTCCTGATATATGTAGGCATGGCATCCTAGGATCCTTTATCCTGGACAACAAGGTTAGTTTTTGATGTCCTGGTTAAAACCATGAGTTGTGTCCGAGAACTGCAGCAGCATCCCGTTGCTCCTGTATCCATGTAAACGAAGAGAAAACATGACCTGGGTGCGTGATCTCGGGGAGGCTGGACACACACAAATTCACCCATCCCTCTTTGTGTCCAGGGCTCGCTGAAGAAGGAGTTCCCCCAGAACCTGGGAGGCAGCGACGTGTGCTACTTCTGCCGCAAGCGGGTCTACGTGATGGAGCGGCTCAGCGCCGAGGGCAAGTTCTTCCACCGCAGCTGCTTCAAGTGCGAGTACTGCGCCACCACGCTGCGCCTGTCCTCCTACGCCTACGACATCGAGGACGGTAAGGCACCAGGCCCTTCTGGCACTTAAAAATTACTTGGTGAGTTAGGGAGGAGGGTAGTTTCCATTCCCCAGACACCATCTCTGAAGTTCTTGGAGCTTCGTGGATTTCCTCTGGCCGGGTTATGGCAGCAGCAGAGCAGCCAAATTCATAGGAGTTCATACAACATCGTAGTGATGCCTGGAGAGGCTGCCTGGAACAGAGGCTAGATAGAATTAAAGGAATAAAGTAGGGATTTAATTAAAAGCCTTCAAAGGTTACATCTTGGGCGGCTCAAGAGCCTGGCTGTGGCTCCACTCAAGAATGGACCATGGGGGTCCCAGTTGTTGGTTTCTCTGGGTCTGGATTGAAGGCACTTGAGACAGTAGTTCATGTTTAGACTCAGGTGTTTATTATTTCTCATCAGTAGAACAGTCTCACTACTGTGAGTTCAGCAGTTTTTCATTAGAAGGCACAAAATGGCCAACAATCTCGTGTTACAAGGTCTTTTAAGACTAAACTACCCAATTAAGAACTGACACCTAGATTATTTTCCCTTTTAACCCAATAACTGATCCCAAAGAGCCCCCAGTGTGGACTTTTCTGCCCAGTTACAAAATGCTACCCAAACCCATGAAGAAGGAAGGAGCATGAAGAAGAAACCCTGTGCCCCCCATCTTGCTTCCATCCACAACATATTAAAAATTCCAAAACCTAAGTTTCTCACCTAAGTGCTACACCTACACTGCTCTCTATAATCTGTTTCACACTTTTGTGGATTCTGGTCTATCTTGAAGTCTAGGGAGCTTTCTCCATGAATGAGGATCAAAGTCAGTGCTCCCCTGGGGGTCAGGGCACCCCAGAGCAGACAGAGAAATATTCCTGGTGCCCTGAGCTTCCACAATGGACAGCTGATCACGAGTTTTGACACTTTTATAAGTTTTGGTCCATTTCCATATTGGGGTTAATTGTCCAATTACAGCTTCAGGTTATGAATTCCCATCCTCCCAGGTTGCTCTCCTCAATTCCCTGTTGTTCACACTTTTGGACTCAAAGCTACAACGGTGTCCTTGGTTCTGGGGCTGGAAAAGGATGGTTTTATCTGACTAAGCTGTGAAAAGAACTTTCCAACACTTCATATAAAGTTCAGAGTCACACATTAAGGCAGACCAGAATCTGAAAAATATGAACTCTAAACTTAGGGCATCATTAAGAGCTGCTAGAATGTGGGGAAACACATAAAAACTGGAGACTTGAAAAAGCTTTACAGGCTGAGTACAGGCTGAGTTTGAAGGCTAGACCTTTTACTGTCCTCATCTGACAATATTTAAATAAAACTCCCGAGTGTTTAATACCACTTAAGAGAAAATAACAAGTTGGAGAGAAATGCGGTCAGCTTGTTCTTCTTGAAGATACCAGAACTGTCCAACTCTGTGTGTTTATTTTAGATGTAATAAAATAGGAACTTCATAGTCAGGGGTTGTTGATAATAGGTGTTTACAAGCTAAGTTCTGTTTATATAGAAAACATGGAACTTTAAAGTTGAGTACAGGTAACTCAATGTTAAAGTGTTGCAGCAGTAGTTACTGAAGATTCAGTAATGACTTAAGGAGAAATGAATACAATTACAAAACTTACTGATGTCTCAATTAAAAGAATCTAACATGCTAAGAATGAAGGGAAGCTTCATATTTACCCTACAAGTCTGAGAAACAAGACAATAGGGCAGCAGGTGAAACTCACTTTATCAACAAAGCTTGCATATTGAAAGTAACAATTTAAGATCATCCATCACTTGTGAAAAGTGATTTCCTTGTAAGGGTAGCTATATATTAAAATATTTGTTTGAGCAGTGGTTGACAAAGATGTCACATTTTCTAAAGAACATGTATTAGAAAGTATTTCAGGTAAATGTTGATTCACATCAGCAGGCATGCATTTATTTTCTTACACAGCTGCCTGTCTTTAATCCAATTTCAGTAGGAAAACAAGGGCAAAATGGTGTAAAACTAGTGACAAGTAAGGTTCCAAGGATTTGATTGTAGACATAATGGTGTAGAAAACAGAATAACAAGAAAAGAAATGTTAATACCAGTATTTCTCCTACTAATTGAGGCAAATATGAAGTAAAAATTTTAAATTGGTGTCACAGGATGACACTCCAAGATATTCTATGCAGGTTGAAATTGATGGGTATCCACTCCATAGCTAAGAAGAATCTTTTAATTTATACTGGGTAGAAAAATGGCTGTGGAAACACCATCTGGTTTAAGGGGCAAAAAGAACTAAAATTGTGTATTCATAATGTATTATATAATGACTTTAAGTAATGGATTTGCTGGGTTGTGAAGAGATGAGGAAACTTAGAATCATCAAACCAGACTCCCAGTAAGGAATAGAAACCCCTTTATTGCTTGTCTGGAAGGTCAGCAGACTTGGCATGCAAGTTTAAAGGGGCCAGTGTAATTTTGAAATCAACATAAAAGTAACATCTTTGTCAGAAATCAAAGTTGGAGAAAAGCATTTTTTGAGCACTGCTGTTATTTTGAGCGCTCACAAGTAACTGAATAGCTGACTGTCTGTTAAGCAGTGACAGACTGAGCTCCTCTGTCAGCTGTAGGGGCTTGAAACAGTTTTGACCACCAGATTTTTAGTAATTCCCTCTGCAAGCATGCTTGTGTGTGCAGTTATGGCCAGACAGTTCTCAGTGAAGCAAGCACAAAGCTTGGAGTTTCAGCAGGCTTATAGCATTCATTCTGAAATGTTACATGCCCAACAGTTGTGTGTGTATATGAAGCAGATGTGGCTAAACAGCAATCTCTGGTATCCTATCTAATACAATAATTGTGAAAATGTATTTCATTCTGAGTTTTCTTTGAGAGTTAAAAAAACCAAAGCTATGCACACATTGTTGCTGTTCATGTAGCTGTTTGGACTGACAGGCATTCTGCAGCCTGCTGCAGTCAGTGTCTGGTTTTAGGCTTCAAAGTCTGAGAATTTTTATGTAAGAGCTTTTCAGTTGTTGTTATTTTGGACAATCTCAAAAAGCAGGTTTTGGTAAGAGTAAACATTAAGAAATACATATTGAAGTAAAGATTTCTAGGAAGATGTTTGTCACTTTTCCATCATAAAGCATTTTGCAAATACCAGCACAGAGAAACTAGAGGAGGAGGCAGAGGTCAGAATATGTGTTGGGAATGCAATGGCAAAGCTCTAGGAATGGGGTAGCAGTGGAGAGTGCTATGCCAAGCAGGATGCACTGACAAAGGTGCAGTGGAAGGTAATTATGGTAATTCAGTTTGCTGCTTTTATTAGTACCAGTAGTATTTGCATGATGGTATTGCTAATGCTGCTTTGTCTTCCTGGCAGTGCTCAGCTAGCAGTGAAAAACCTCTCCAGACTTCTGGGGTGTTAGTAAAACCAGCAGGATCACAAAAGGTCTTATTTGTGAAAATGAGTCATTGTCCTTTTTACAAGTAGCCACTGTGCATTTTGAGAGATGGTTCTTTGGGAGTTAACACTGTCCTCTCCCACTTTCCTCTGCTGGTTGTATTCATTCTTGCTTTTTCCAAAAGTGCTTCTGCCAGCTTTTCATGTGATGATTTCTTTGTTCCTCACACACTGCCGCATTGTTAGCATGTGATACCACACAAGCCTCACAGCTTTGCTTTGGTGTTTGATAGGATTTTAAACTAAATGGCTGTCAGGCACCCAATGGAAAAGAGCCTAGTTACAAGGGGAGAGAGCAGGGCTGGAGCTACAACTTCAGCCAGTGTTTGCCTCTGCATATAGTGAAGAAATTAGAGAGAGCAACGGGAGGGGCTGCAGAAAATAAGTTGCAGTGAGATGGACATTTATATTGTGCTAAATTCTTGTGTTCCTATTGCTGACCATCATTTGTGTTTTATCTGCAGGTAAATTCTACTGTAAACCTCACTACTGTTACCGAGTCTCTGGTTATGCTCAGAGGAAGAGGCCAGCAGTGGGTCCTCTGTCAGGAAAGGTAACTCATTATTTTCATCTACTGTGCTGTGTTAATAGATTTTGATTCTTAACATTGAGAAAGTGTGTGTGTGACGGTTTGGGGTTTTTTCAGAAAGTAGAAAAATTCAGGGTGCATTTCATTGCTTTATCTATCGTGAAAACTTACAGTTCAACTAAATCTTATTTAAAAGCACTTCCTCTACTTAGTACTACTCTTTTTTTGGTACTTATTATAAAATGATGCGCTATCCTGTTCCAAACAGGATTTTGATTTGTTCTTCTTGTCAGCTGAAATACTTTCTCAGTGTATGCTGAGACTAAATGAGTAATGTTAGCAGTTCTGATTTTCCTTTGTTTCTCCATGGTTTTGCTTAAGATGAAACAAATGGTTTGCATTTCTTTTGAAACTTAAAGTTCTATTCCTCTTGCATAAGCTATGAAGATCACATACCTTCATTTTTGAAGGTCTGCTGCATGTTAACAGGAACCTGCATGGAAAGGCAGAATATCCCCTTTCCTATGCTATCATAATAGAAGTATTTGTGCTGTAAATATAGGATGAGAGACACTGTGTAATACAGAAAAGTCCCTCAGCTTTTGCTGTTATAATTCAAAACACCTAATTTTTCTCCTCAAGCCCCTTTTCATTATTTTCACATACTCTGAGCAAGCTACATGCTGGTTTCTTAAGTTCTGTTAAGCTTGCATGCTGCAAACTGCCCTTGTCCCTTAAATTATATTTTCCTTTGTGCAAGCAGTGCTGCCTGTCCTTCTGCCTGATTCTCAGGTTTTATTAGTACAAGCTGGAGCTATACTCCTTTCTGGAAGGATAACAGATCCATCCCAATATGTGCCATACTTGCTGCCAAAAATAAAGACTAAAAATGGCACCTGTTTTATTTCCCAGAGGAGCAGACTTCAGGGATCTTACAGCTTTGACTTTCTTGGCTATCAACTTTGTTTTCCAGAGCTTTTTATTAAAGCCTTAAATTGAGAAGGCACATGTTTGTTTTTCACCAAACAAGCCTTACGTGATGGTTGCGGGGTATCTCAATCCCTTACTCAGCATGTTCAGTACACACAGCAATTCCAACTTTAACATGAATTTAACTTCCCCCACCTTCTTGCAGGACACCAAAGGACCTGTGCAGGACGCCATGGCCAGCGACGGGAGCGGACGGGCCAGCAGCATCCCCACCTCAGCAGAGAGGGCCCCAGGTAGCTCCGCTTCCTTCTTTAGCAGGGTGGTGCAGTACTCGCTCGGCCTCGTGGGCAGAGTTAGGGTGGTGAGCCAGCGCCTGCACAGCACAGTCTCCTCCATTGGGCACCACGTAGCCCAGAACCCTCTGGACTCCTTTTTCATGTGTCAGCTGCTGGCGTTTGGGGTTCCCTTTCTCTATGTCCAGTCAGAAGTTCTCGGGCAGATCCTAGGGGAATTCTGTGGGCAGCCTGCTGACCAGTGAGGATTAATGTCTCCCGACTTTGAGCTGTGTAACTCGTTGTTTTTTGCGGTGCCTTGTGAATTTTGTGTGCTACGTGGAAATCTCAATATATTATTTTGCACTGTGGCTTCGGGGCCTAGATGTTCTCGGTTCTTTCAAGGACATTGTTTGAAAGAATTCCAGGAAAACACAGATGCTCAGTTGAGGTTCTCCTCTGAGTCAGCCCTGATAAAGAGCCCTGTAATGTATGCAGCTCAATGTCAGTGAAATTAAAAGTTTTTATGAAGCACTGGAATAGCTCACAAACTGGATTTCTGTGTTTTCCTGAATTCTGGCTGCGGTTTCTCGTTCTCCCAAGCTTCTCTTTATTAATCTGGTACTTGAATGGGAAAGATCCCATTATCTTTGGATTGTTTCTCCTTTGGAATTCTGGGTGTCTGACAGCTAATGGGATTGGATTCCTTAAACCCCTTGAATTTCGTGGTGCTGGCAGGTCATGGTGCTCTTCCCTCTGCCAGCATCTGTGCTGCTCCTGGCCGTGGCTTTGGAAATGGGGTGGTGAATGTGTGTGTCTTACTGTGACATAGTTTTCCCTTTTAACTTGAAATTCTAATTCTTTCTAACACGAGAGAAGTGTCTGTGCTACAAATGCTCGTTTGCCCAGCCCCAAAGTGCTCATTTTGTGATGTCAGAAAAAGGAAGACATATTAATTTCTAGTATTTGTTCCACAAGGCTATGAATAAGCTAAATCAGCTGCTTTTAGAATGGGAACATACTTGGAGCAATATTTTGAGGAAAGAATGTTTGCATAGTGCCAGTTGAGAAGCCCTTAACAACACAAGAGCAGATAAAAATCATGGTGTTCTTTGACTTTATATAATTATACAAGTGTTTCTAAGATTGTAACTGAATGCAATCTGACAGAAATTTATCCTTAGTGTGTTGATTTTTGGAGTGTAGTTACTTTCAAGATTTCCTCTTTTGTGTGTGTCCAATGTACATATGGCAAAAGTGAGGAAAGGGTAGGGAAGAATATTTGCAAAATGCTGTGGACAGATGTGTGAACTGCAGCATTTTTGCATAACTGGATAGATTTAAAACTACTTTCTCTGAAAGTGAAAAAACTATTTTTTTTTTGTAGCTTGGAGCATATTTTTAAAGATGAATAGAAAAAATATTTGTTGATACACAGGGCAACTGATGTGAGCATAAGTTGTTTTGTGGAGTGAAGCTGTAGGTGGTGATAATTGGAAGGAGGAGATTTGAATTACATTTATCAATTAGTTTATCACAGCAACTGCTGGCAGAAAATCTCCTTTGATTTAGTCCTTCCAACAAATCAAATTTAATTGCTTTTACAAAGGAACATTCAGCAAGTAGCACTTAAATGGTCCCTAAGTAGAGCAAACAATAGGGCATAGTTTATGATAAACTTCTATAAATCAGAAAAAAATCAGCTCTAAATCAGATGTCTCCTTCTCTAGTGGTGGCACAATCCTGTAGCAGCACTGTAGTACTTCCAGAGAAGTGAGATGGAACAGACACCATTTTGTCCAATGGCAAAACTTGAAATCTAGGGCTCCTTCTGTTTGCTTTCTGCTTTTTAGAGCAGTGTATAACTGTAGCATAATGTTCAGAGCTTTTGGGCCTTTTAAAGCTTTGCCCCTTGCAGTGCCCTAGGTGCATTAGGACATGCTCAGCTTAGCTGGGTCACCATGGTGCATTCTCGTGTGTGCATGGCAGAAGTACCTCCAGTGGTACAAGAGGTGGGCAGTGCCTCTGTTGTGCTAAAAAATACCATTAGTGGCTGAGTTTTGTTTTCTTTGTGCAGTATGATTTAGATAACCCTTGGAACTACTGACTTAGCAGTGGTTAAGAAGCAGGAGGAAGCAAAATGCAATGTGCTTTAGAAACAATCCACAGTGGCATTAAAGGCAGGTCAGCTGTCTGTTAGAGTGACAGCCATGTCCTGTAGGTACCTACCTTCAGCTCCCTTTCTTGCTGGGTTGCTAGGTCAGGAAACCTGTGGTGGGTTTTACAGTTGTTTATGGTTTAAAAAAACAAAGCTTTTTGAACTACCAAGCTTACCTATACACTGGAAGAACAGGATAGTATTTCTGAGTAATCAAAAGGAGTCTGTAAGATTGTATCTCAGTGTAACTCCTGAATTTAAACTATTTGTGTATATTCCTTCTTGCGAGCTTTCACTGTAGCCTAGACAAATACCTTGAGCAAAAACCTGAGATGAAGACAGAGGCAGAGCTCTGTTTCCTAGCCTCCACTTCATCCATCTGGGCACTCACCTAGTACAGGTCATACATCTGAAAGTGTTTTACTTCCTGTGGGGCAAGACCACCAAATGGAATTTGGCAATAGCAATTTCAGGCCCTGGGGTCTGAACTAATGCTCATTAGTGAGGTAGGTCTTGGTGTAGAGTGTTAGTTGCCTGTAAAAGGATGAAGTAGAAGCAGAAAAGCACGCAACGTGCTCAGGTTTGATATTTGATGGAGATGCAAATATAGCTTAGAAGGCAAAGGGAAGGTGTGTAACAGTAACATCCATTGTGGAATACATAAAAAATCAGCCAGTCAAAAATTTTATACATGCGAGTTAAATTAATCCCTGAGTTACCAAAAATGTTTTTTTTTCAGAGAACTTTATGGTGACTCATGTAAAACCTGCTTTTTAGTAGTCATGAAATCCCAAATGGATGTAAATTGCATGGGTTTTCTCCCTACATTTGCTGCCCCCTTTGCTATATCACCAAACCTTTTTTAGCCAGCTTAGTGCTTAAAATATATTCAACCACAAAATAGCTTTCAGCAGGTTTAGTCAGATGAGGTGAGATTGGTCACAACAAGCCCTTTCTTGTGCTGTCACTAACCTGTTTGGCATGGATTAACCTTGTTAAAGATGTCAGTCCCTGCCTGGGTGGCGATGGCGTGGCTGGCATGGAGTGAGTTCTGTCTGTCCCTGGTGGAATGATGCTTGCAGGGCACAGTCTGTGATCAGCAGGTTGAGGTTTGTTCAGCAGTCAGCTGGAATCACCCTTTTTGTGAGGGGTTTGCACAGAGCCTGCGTGGCTTCTGCCCTGCTGCCCCAGGGGAGGTTATTTCCAAACTGGAACCCTTCAGTGGCGGAAGTGGCAACAAGCTTTGAGCAGTGCCTGCCATTCTCTCTGGGAAAGGGAAGTTGGGGACAGCTCTTACTGTGCTTTTGGTCCTGCTGAACTGTGGCATGCTTGTCTTAGATTCTGTAACTTTCTCTGTACCTTGTCTGCCTGTTTCTCTCTATCTTCTGCATTTGCCTTTATGCCAAAATGCTGCTATTGCCAAGAAAAAAAACCAAAACAACTGAACAAAATACTTTTGCTTTTCAACTGTCTCTCCCTTTGATAATCTGTAACTGCTGTGTCTTGGAATTTTTTTTAATATAATTTACAATACTTTATATGGTTTTAATGTGCTTTTAATGCAAATGCTGTTCTTCTGTTTGTTCTAAAGGTCTGTAAGAATGTTTCTGAATTTTCATCTCTTTCTTGACAGATGGACTTGGAACAGTCTTTACCCCTATGAGCTTTATGATATGCTCCTTGGGGTGATGTTAGCTAGCAATGTTTTGTTGTAAAATATTTCCCATTTCAGGCTCATGTTTTCACAACAATGCATTTCTGTCCCTATCAGCAATAGGAAGTTGATAAAGGAAAGACTGCCTAGGGAAGCTCATACTTGTACAGCAATAAAAGGCAAGTCATGAGATCTTTTGCTTTAGTTACTTGACCTGTGAAAGATTAAGAAATCAAACATAAGCAATAGTATGAAAAACTAAAATGCAATACAAAGTAGATGTACTAAGACTTGTGCTTTAATATCACATAAATACATAGTGTTTATGATAATAGGTATGCAGTCTGAAAAGTTAAAATCCTCCTATGGATGTGCCTTAATGGTTTTCAGGAAGAAATATTCAGAGCAGAGCACTTCACAGCACACCCTTAAACAAGTACTGTTGTATATAGGAAGCAATATATATGAGGAAGTTCTTTTGCTGACCTGGAGAGCTGGGAAAGAGTGGCTATTTCCTCTAAATGGCATGTCCTTTAAAGTAAATTATCTGAACACATTTGGAAAGGATCTTAAGTGTCTGTACAAGTATAAGTATTTTTGAATGCCTCCAATATTATTTGCACACTATTGAATTTTGTGTCTGAGAAAACACAAATATATATTTCTGTTTAGGAATAAGCTTCTTGTTCATGAACATTGCCTCTGTTGTTCAGAAGCATTGCCTCTCCACCATTCTGCATACATTGAACATGCCTTACTTGTGAAAATGATTTAGCTCAAAGCAATACTGCTTTGTTTGCTGTGCAAACAAACATCTTGATGAAATCCTCTACTTGGACACCTCTTTTCATTACCATTCACCTTTGGTTTTGTTCTTATAATTTGATCTAGTTTAAACATTAAATTATGGAAGATAACAGCAAACAAATTCTGTGACATGACATTCTTTTTGAGGTGCCTTCATTTTAAACCACTGAAGGTTTACAAATACATCCCACTCTTTTCCCTGCCAAAAATAAAACAGAAAAAGGAAAGCATTCATATTTCAGGATGCACCACCAAATTGGGATGAAAGCTATTTCCTCTACAAGCGTGCCTTGAATATTGTCTGTTGTGTTTGGAGGAGCCATGGTGGTGTGTTTAGCAGGACATGGCACATGATTCTGATACCTTTTTTGGGGTATCATGCAACTGCAGAGAGATCTGATG